CAGAAAATACGAAGCAATTCCTTTAGAAACAACGGGAGACGCCTCAACACCTCGACCGTTTCAGTGGCAGAGTGACAGGCTGGTGGAGACCAGGGTGCAGGCGGGCTAGTGGGCACGGCAGCAGCCCTTGGAACCGGCCACGAAGGTCGATCGGAACCAAAACATGGGGATTGCGTCAACTCAGTGACTCAGTTCCCCTTCTGCAAGCCAACGAACGTCTCCTGTGTGAAGCTCATATGTCGGGACAGAGCAAATTGAACATACATCCCCTGCTTTCTTTCCCTCAAAGGGAAGGCCTGAAAGGGAAGAGCATTCGCCAGCCTTGGCATGGCCAATGCAGCATAGTCCCGTGGCGCCTGTCCAGATTGTTCTTGTAGGGATTGTAGGGGTCTCAATAGGCTTCGCGTTGCCATTTCGAGGGATTTCTCTTGAACAGTGCAGTGTTTGAAGTGGGAAAGATGGGGTGACACTCCGGGAAACACGCTTTCCTTGGTTTTCCTGTAACACGGCCCAACACACCCTGAAAGATGCGCAAGCCGCGCCAGTTTTATGCAGGTTCAGAAGAAGGGTCAGGAGCTCGCGCTGGGCCCGGTTGCGCGGGGGGATGGGTGATGGGTCTGGTCCCTCTCGGCCAAGAGGGTCGTCCTTTGGCTTGGTTTCTCCTCGTTTTGCTTCTGCTGGCTTTGGCCAGTGGGGGGTCACTCGCGTATGAAGAAATGATGGACGCAAAGCTCGAAGCAAAGGGGGCTGGCGTTCTGCGAGCTCCAAGGCTGCTTTACATAACTCGCCCTTCCGAATTGGGTTGTTGCGCAAATGCTGAGGCAGAGGCGCAGGAGCAGCTGAACAAGAAGCACATCGAGCTGGCTCTGGAGAAGGAGGCGCTTGTGCCTCCACAACAGCCATGCCAGCTTCCGCTAAAGGGCATTTTTTTTCAATCGGAGCCAATCAGGGAGCACTTCGCCTCATCGATCTTTGAAGGGCACAATCCGTACTGTCATTTCCCAGCTTCGCTGGGTTGAAGGTTCTGCCTAGTGCCAAAGAAGCTGGTAAGTCAGCAGTCCGCTCAACGCTTCACCTCTGGCTTAGCTCGGGACTCCGCCCGCCTTCCAGCAAGAGCTGCCCACATGGCATTCCAACCTTCACCCATGCCCTGCGGATGCAAGGCGTGGGCCAGGGGTGTTGGTGGCGGGCTGGCATTTTTTTGGGATTTCGCAAAGCATTGACATGAGCTGCCGCGCTGAACCAATCTCAAGCTCGAGGTGTTGTTTCTTGGGATGACCCAACTGGCCTACCTCCGTGTCCAGACATCAGGGCCCCTGGAAGCAGTCGGATTGTCGTGCTTCTAACCACCTTCTAAACGGACGGCTCTTCTCTCTCATGCCAGGCGCCGTGCCAGGGCAAGAGCCAGGGCCCCGGACTGGAAAAGCACCGGCGCAGTTTGGCGGAGCTGAGGGCTGACAAATCCAAGGGCTTGTCTTACTTGTGGTTGGGCAGCAGAGCCAGTGAGATCAGATGGACTCAGGCCCGGACGCCTGGGTCATCAGGAAGACATTTGTGGAGGTGAGCCAGGAGGAAGTGCAGGAGACCGCACCGGCATGATGCGCACTGCGATGGGACTTGTTTTTTCTCCTCGCAGCGTGCTTTTGTTTGCATTTGGTGAGGGGTGAGGTTTCTGCACGCCACGTTTTTTCCGCAGTTTCTGTGTGCGCCTTGTTCAGGAGGAGGGCCGCCGCGCCAGCTCGGAGCCCCCGCTGCGCCGCGCGAGCCATGAGTTGGAGGCATGGGGCTGGGGAGGGGGGGGGGTGCTCTCTGAATGACTGGGTGGGTTCCATGAGGCAAGTCGCCTGAATGGTACCCACCGCCCCCTTCGGATTACTTCGACCCTTGTATGGAACATCGTTCAGCATGGGGTTCCGGATCCTTTGACGCGATGTGAAGCCCACCCCTATGCGGCAATCCGCATTTCAAGTTGTTGGAAGTTGATGACTTGCAAACCCTAGCACTCAGGGTCAACATCGGTGCAGTCTCTCTTTCTTGAAAGAGTCTTCCGGGGCACGGGAGGTGTGAAATGCCCCAGGCTGCCACGGATGACGTGCAGCAGCTGAAGCAGATGATCGCCGAAGCCCAAGCCGAGGCGAAGGACCTGGAGTCGCAATGCGAGATCGCATTGCCGCCAAAGCGCCTGGCATGCAATGGGGGGGGGCTTTCTCACTCAGCGTTGGGGGTGTGAGCGCCCTTTTTTGGCTTGAATGGCACATGTCGGACAGCTTCACCTCCTCGGCGCATTTGGGGGATGCGCCCTTGGTGAACCCCAACCCAAGGCCCCAAAAGCTAAGACTAGAGGGAAGGGCCGCTCCAGCTTTGACCTCAGCAATTGAGCACTGCGAGGTCCTGGAACTCCGCGAGCCTGGAGGACGTGGTCGGGCCAAGCCCTTCTTGCAACATGTTTCAAACAAAGCCTTGATTAAACGGTTGATTCCCACAGCTTTCTTGCAAAACGAAGGAGCCACGTCTCAGAACTCTTGCAAATTGGAGTCAATCACAGGGTTTACCTTGCAGCCAACCGCTGGAGGATGTCCAGCACATGGAGCAAGACCTTGGGGACTTGCTGCAGCGCGTGGACGCGGCCCCTTGGCCCCATCTGGCTTGGTGCGCAGTTTCCACAAGAATAATTAAGTATGTTTTTTCTTTTCTTCGAAGGCGCTCTTGGTTTGGGGCCTCAAAAAAGAACCAGGAGAGACCGGCCATTTTGGTTTTGATCCCTCCCCATGTGTCTTCAAAAAGCATCCCTCTCAGGCCAACATGAGCCTGTGCTCGGCCCATGCGGAGCTGCAGCGGCTGCAGGGCCGCGCGGCACCGGAGGACCAGGGTTCAGTGAGGCTTCCGCCCCGTTGTGCCGGATCCTGGGTAAACACGGCCCACCTTTTCTATGTTTTTTTCCTTTCCGTGGGTTCCAGCGTGAAAATGGCAAACCCTAAAAAGAAATGCCCCCTTCTCCTTCTACCAGGGCCAGTTGACTCCTTCTTGGGGAGCCCCAGGAATGAAGGCTGTGGTGGCAAAGAAATGACACCAGCAGCCGGCTTCCATGGGTCCAACACTGTAGCACGAACGGGTTCCAGGGTTTCCAGGTTCCCTCGATTTCCCGATTGTCCGCTTTAACGTGGGCTTTTGGTGGCAAGAGCCACAAGCAAAGAGAAGGCGGCCAGAAAAAGGGCAGGTGTAAATTTCATGGGTTGAAGCTCGTCAGCCAGCATGTGTGGTGCCACTTGGTTCCGCCTCCAGGGCTTGGATTTCTTGGGGAGGTTCTGTTTTTCGGAAGGCACGTGGGATGGGTTGTCGGTCGCGCAGGATCAGATCCAGGAGGAGCCCGGTCACTGGCGGTTGCAGCGTAGAGAGCGGGCTAACGCACGTTTATGGTGTGTGGGTCCAAGCGTCAGGAGGCAGCGGCACTTGTGCTTTCCCTGAGGAGTACGCCGCGAAGATGGAGGAGAACCAAGAGCTCGAGGAGGAGTGCGCGCGGCTGCAGGAGGAGGTGGCCGCGGCCAAGGCCGACATGTCCAGTGCCAAGCGCAAAGCGCCGAGGGCCAAGGGCCGGGCTGCGCCTCCGGCGCCTCCGGCGCTTCCGGCGCCTCCGGCGCCCTCGCCGGCCATGCTGGAGGCGCATCGCCGGCGGACGGAGGCGCTGCTTGCGCTCTCGGAGGCCCGGGTCGCAGCGTCCAGGGCCGCGACCGACGCCGACGAGGCGGAGCAGGCAGCTGAGCAACTTGGGGTGGAGCTGGAGGAGAAGGAGGAGCAGATGAAGGCGGCGGTGGCACAGGCGGAGCAGTCGCTCGCAGCAGAGGAGGGCCATTTTGTGGACCAGCTGCAGGCTGTCGATGACCAGCTTCAGCACATGGGGAGGTGCCGAAAGGACCTGCAGCACCGCTGCGCAGTGCGCAAGGGCATTTTGGACAAGTGCCGCAGCCGTCGCGGGCAGATGGCATCCAAAGTGGCACGCGCTGAAGGTCGGGCTTCGGCCATGCAGGCGGATGCCGAGATGGAAGCCCAGGAGCTGCGGCATTTGAAGGACCGCGTGGAGCAGTTCAAAGGCTTGGATGGAACCCTTGCAGCTGCCAAGAAACAGTTCGGATCCGCGGAGCGCCTGTGGCTGCTTGTGCGTCTCCTGCTTCTGACTGCGCTGCTTTGTGGGATCCTCTCCCGCTTTTGCTGAGCCACACATAGGTTGGTTGCCAAGTTAGGACAAGAAGGGAGTGGTTGCATGCCCGGCTTTGTTGGCAAGCAGCCAGGTAATATTTGCAAATATATGGAACCATTGCGGCAAGGTCACCTTCCCTTCATGGTCCTTGCACGGGTTTCTGCGGGACTGCCTTTCGATAATCACAGGCAGAACGCTGAGCCACTGGGGTGGATGGCACGTTGGCAGAGGCTTTCTAAGTTTCCCTTTGGGCATGGCACGATGCATGATCCCTCGTGCCAGAATCAGAATGGTTAGTTCGGGGCCTTGGCTCTCAGGCATAGAAGCCACCACCCTCTAAGACCCAAGTTTCCATTTCATGGAACGCGACAGAATTCATGATCCTAGCCTGCCGATCTCCGGGGGAGCTTGGCAGTTACAGGCTGAAGCCTGCAAGTCTTAAGTCCAGCCTTTGGCATGGGCGTGCAGCGCATGCTTTGTCACTGGTTCGGAGGTTCGTCACAAGTCCCTTGGGGGGCTTTATGAGGAAGCTGATGCTTAAGAATCTGTGTTGGGCCCTGAGACGAGCTGTATACGATATCTCCGTTTGTGCTTCATTCAGTGCTGGTGATAGAGGGCCTTTGAGGAATGGCTTTCGAAGTCGTGGCTCGTGGCCTGGGTGGCCTGCAGCTGAGACAGTTGAGTCAAAGGTAGACATGGCAATTTCTGAACCCCCAAGCTTGCAGCATACATGCCAATCATCTCCTTATCACCTTCTCAATGAGGGGTCGTCAGTTTTACTTTTTGAATGCTGCTCAGGCAGGGGGCAGCCCATGCACCATGCACCATGCCACCTGCGAGTTCTGGCGCAGAACCGTTCGACCCGCGTTGAAAACGTTGCTTTGGCGGACGCCATGTCCCACTGCTAGTGCTAGTTGTTGGCGTGACCTTAGCCGCTAAGGTGCATTTGGGACGCAGTGGCAGCGTTTGCCACAAAGGCTACTCCCACCCAGGGTCAATATCCCGGCCTGAGGTCTAAAAGCATTCCATTCGGAGAACCATGATGGGATAGATGCAACATAAAAAAGAACACATGCCATTAATCCCAAATTAAGAAGCACTATAAACGTGATGGGCAACCCAGAGCCAAATCACCTCAAGTCGGCCATTTCAAGGGAAGGACCACTTTTGATCAGTAATTTTCCAAGAAGCTGCGTGCGTTTGGTTTTGTACCTGCCAGTCGCAGGTGAGGTTCAACGCAAGCATTGCCTTGTGATCCTCTGAGTCCAAGGCCCCTTCTTGTTTGAAGCGACTTCTCGATCTGATGGCAGGTTGCTAGAAAGGTTGACCAAAACTCACCCTTTTCAGGGTAGCTTCCAAGGGGCGGACGCGAGCACAAGCCTTGTGAAGGAAGCTGTGTGAAGAGAGTGTGACCCCCTTTTTTGCAAGGAGGAGGTGCAACTCACTAGCTCCACGGGGGCTAGGGGGTGAAATTGCGTGAACCCTAATTTTCACTCCCGCGTTGCACTGCTCGCGGCACCCCTCAAAGGAGCAGTGCCATTTGCGGCGAGGCGTCCCAGCAGCTTCGGCAGCAGCTCGGCAGCGCCCAAGCGGCTCAGGCTGGACCTAGGTCCATTGGGAGGCGTTTTGCTGGGGCCTTGAGGTCATGGGTGAAGCGTCTGAAGCACCGGCTCGCTTTTCAATGAGATATACCACTGAAAGAAAGCGCGGAGATGGAAGCGGAGGTCGGTCGGCTCTGCTCGATCCGGGTACATGTGGCAGGGAAATTCAATGGGGATCCGGACCCAGGGGCCCTTGCGTCCAGAGAGGCCCCCCTCCTCCCCCCCCCCAAAGCTGGGAGGAGGCAGTGCGGGAGCAGCTCTGCGCTAAGTGCTGCGAGCTGGCCAGGGCGCAGGAGGCGCTTGTGCTGTCCAGCTTGGTTCTAGAGTTTTTTTGTTGGGTGTTATCTTCGTTCCGGCTTAAAAGAAACCTGGCAGATAGGTGGGGCTTGTCACAGAGCCGTCCGAAATGGGGAACAACTCGTTTGTTTTCTTCCCTTCATCCTGAGTTCCTGGGCATCACTTGGAACAATTAAGGATACAACCTCCCCGAATGCATGGCCGCATCGCATCGCCGAATCGAAGGTCTCTTGGCCCAAGACAGCGGTCTGGGAGTCTAGAATGAGAGGGTGGACCTCTGAACTCCACAGCAGGGTTGGGCCAGGCTATGTATGAGGGCTCAGCACCGGAGAACTTTTGGATGTCAACAGGAAATGCGACACGATTTGCACCGATTTTGGCCCAACCCTGAAAGCTTCCAACCTGTGCCCCGATGTCGAGCAAGGACGAGGCCAGCGATGCTTGCGAGACCCTGTTGGTGCCGCCTTTGGCGCGTCATTCTCCAGCCCTCGCTCCCCAAGCAGAGTCGCTCACCCGAGCATTCAGAGCCTCCAAAACGCAGGTGCTTGCATGAGTCAACGCGCGTGCTTCAGACTCCTTTATTTCAGACGCCCTGCCTTTGCAACCGTTGAAACTCTCTCCCCCTCCCAAAAGCAACACGAAGAAAGCAACAAGACCATGACTTGGCGTTTTGCGCAATGTCTTCCCCCTTCGAAGGCATTTGTTCGGCCAGAGATGTCTTTGCACGTCAGCCAGGGCATCTCCACAGCGCCGAGCTCCGAGGGCAGCGGCGCCTTGGCAAATTTGGGCGGAGTTTGGGGTCCTGTTGTCTGGTTGGGCTGGCTTCCGTTTTTGTTTCTTCTCCGGATTGCCGATGGCTTGATGTTTTTTGTGTTCTGGAATGATTTGGGGGTGGTTTGCTTTGTGGCTTTTGTGAGGATTGTTTGTTTTCGCATATTTCACTGCTTTTTCCCGCATGTTGGCTGGCAACACGTCCCAACCATTTTTGTTTTTTGGACTGCTTGTTCTTGATCACATCTTGAAGACTGGCAGCTCCTAGGTTTCGGGCGGCAGGATGTGAGCGGGTTTGCACAGGGCTACGTGCTTGACGGAATGCTTGTTGTTCTTTGTGTGGGCCGCAGCGGCAAGGCAACTGCGGCCAACTTAGAGGGTCCGCTTCGGAATTTCGCGACAGGGGGATCGGCAGGTCCGGACACTTGGGTGGTCCGCAACACATTCCTGGAGCTGTCTGAGCGCGAGGTTGGAGCGCCTCGGCATGAGAAAAAACAAAGGCCGAAGAGGGCACCCCGGTCGTTTTGTGTGGCCAACCCCTTTCCGCTTGGTCAGAGTGAAGCGAGCTCAGTAGTAATTAAGTTGCCCAGATCACGCCTTTCATACCTTCCTAGCTCGGTCTGGGTCTAGAAGCTTACACTTGACAAAACAAAAAAGAGAACGCGCAAAAATAACTTTGAGAACCCCTGACTATCCAACCACTTTAGGGGGCCTAGGACGCTTCCCACCGAGCTGCCTCCGACCCTGGCCTCCGCCGGAGCAAGCAGGAGCCAGAGGCGAAGGCGCTTCAATTGGAGAGGTTTGCTTTGTTTTTCTCCCGTGCAGTTGGGAGGGAGCACATGACACAGTTCCAGCAGTTCGGCCTACTCATCCCCTCAACTTGCCCACATGACAGGAATTGTGCCCTTTGTTTTCACAGTTGCGTAGTGCACGTGATTTAGCCCGCCACTCGTGCATAGCTGATTCATTTCGAGGATGCATTGCAAGCAGAACCGTTCCGTTTTGGGCTGAAGCCTGGCACCTGATTTGGGACGTCAACTGGGAACATCCGCCGGTTGTTTGTCCCGCTATCATTCGAAATGGAACCAACTAGCCACCCAACATTTTTTGGGGCAGGCCTTCACTTCTTGCTATTTTCCATTTTCTACCTTCTTGAAGGCGCCTGCGGCCACTTGCACCTTCCCAGGTCGAAGAGCAGGATCCGGCGCCTGACTGGTCGCAGGTGGCGCTTCTGGAGGCGGAGCGCCGCGAGCTGGCGGAGGAGCTGGCGAAGGTCCACGTGCACCATGGCCGATGCACCGGCGCGGCTCCTTTTCGGAGGCTGCCCTTTTGGGGTTGGCATGGGGGACCAAGAAGGCAGAGGGACACCGGACGCGTTCCACGAAGGTTGGGTGGTTCCCCCTTTTGTGAGACAGAGGCGGGGTGGAAGGGAGGGTCATGCACACTGGTACTCAGAGATTTTGCATGTCCAATAGAGGGTTTTCTCGGAAAGAGCACCATTTCTTGGTTCGGTGGGACCCTCCCTGAAAATTCTGACCCAACTATAAATACATGGCTCATTTGTCTGAGTGGTTTGGCCTTTGGCCTTCCTGTTGAGGTTTTCGATTGTCAAACCGGTCGTGTCAAGGGGAAACTCATGCAGAAATCTGGGCACCAAGATGCCGTGGGCTTGGGTTCCAAATTTTGGGGGAACCGTCTCCGGAAGCTCGATTCCACGGTCAAGTTGTTGCCTCGTCCCAGGCCAGAGGAATTCAATCTGAACCGGCTGGAGGAAGAGCTGGCAGATCTCCGCGACAGGGAGGATGCTGCCGGGGCCCAATATTTAAAGCGAGGCAGTGAAAGCGAGGTGTGCGCCTGTACGAAGGACACCCCAAAACAAGACTCTCCAAACTATTTTGAGCGCTGTTGTGGGGGGGGGACCTGAAAGCTGGCCTGGAAGCAGCTTTGCTTGAGGTTCGCATTTGGGGTTGGCGGGGGAGCGGGTGATAAGATTGTGGGCGCAGCTTCCCACAATCGGCTAGCCGGCCAAGCAGCCAAGCGGCAGCCAGCCAGGTAACAAGCCAACCAGCCAACAACACTCAGCAAGCCGCCAGCCGCCCGCCATCAACGAGCACGGGGCAGCCAACCAAGCAAGCACCCTAGGTTGCCTTTTCGTTTCCCGGACCTTTACCAGTCGCATGAGCTCCAGGCCAACACCAGCCTGTGCGCTGCGCAGCAGGGCCTGCAACGGATGCAGCAGGTAGCTGGTGCCCGCCAGGTGGGTGTGTGTGTGTGTGTGTGTGTGCAGGGGGTTGTACTTTTTTAGTGCCATTTCCATTGCTGCAGAACATGATTTTGCCTTGTGAAAGTATGTAGTCTGACCCGGGCAACCCGTGGAAGCGGATGATCTCCCGTCCAGGCTCAACTCTCCGAGGACCGCCTGTCTTGTCTGCTTGTGGGTGAGTTCAGTAGCAGGCGCACCAGGCAGATTTGCCCACATGAGCACCTTGCAAGGCATCTCACCCAAATACTTACTTGACAAACAGAACCCCTCTGGCAGCGCAGCGCGTGCAGCTGGCCGCAGGAGTACGCCGCGAAGATGGAGGAGAACCAAGAGCTCGAGGAGGAGTGCGCGCGGCTGCAGGAGGAGGTGGCCACGGCCAAGGCCGACATGGCCAGTGCCAAGCGCAAAGCGCCGAGGGCCAAGGGCCGGGCTGCGCCTCCGGCGCCCTCGCCGGCCATGCTGGAGGCGCATCGCCGGCGGACGGAGGCGCTGCTTGCGCTCTCGGAGGCCCGGGTCGCAGCGTCCAGGGCCGCGACTGAGGCCGATGAGGCGGAGCAGGCAGCTGAGCAACTTGAGGTGGAGCTGGAGGAGAAGGAGGAGCAGATGAAGGTGGCGGTGGCACAGGCGGAGCAGTCGCTCGCAGCAGAGGAGGGCCATTTTGTGGACCAGCTGCAGGCTGTCGATGATCAGCTTCAGCACATGGGGAGGTGCCGAAAGGACCTGCAGCACCGCTGCGCAGTGCGCAAGGGCATTTTGGACAAGTGCCGCAGCCGTCGCGGGCAGATGGCTTCCAAAGTGGCACGCGCTGAAGGCAGAGCTTCGGCCATGCAGGCGGATGCCGAGATGGAATCTCAGGAGCTACATCACTTGAAGGACTGTGTGGAGCAGTTCAAAGGCGTGGATGGAACACGTGCAGCTTCTCAGCTGCACGCGGCAGTGAGGCTGCGAGCCGTCACCCGGTTTCTACTGCTGCTGGCGCTCATCCTTCTGGTGGCCTCGTTCGGGTTCTGAGGGGGCTGGAGTCATGGAGTGGCCCAACGGGCGTTCCATGAAGATCCTGAGGGGGGCTTGGGCAGTGGTCCGCTTGGCAAGCGCCCGAGCACGACCTTTGGCATGGCAAGGAAACAGCTGGGCTTTCATTAGAAAACGGATTTTGAATGATGGTGTGCTCGCATTCGTTGTCGGAGCTGCCCGTGCCACGGCCGTACTGCCGTGCCCTTGCCAGATGTTGTTTGGGTGCCACCCATTGGTTCCCATTGGCAATGTGGGCCACATCATCATATGTGCGTGTGTGGTTTGTGGGAGGCGAAGCCCCAGGGCAAACCGAGTTCATGAAGAAGTTGTTATGTGGGGTTATGGATGTACAAGCTACCTTTGTCGCAGGAACCATCGATGCAAAGCTGGCACCCGCAGCGTCGCTATTGAATGGAGGGAGTTTTGACCTTATGAGTAACTTATGAGCACTCGCCATTTGCAACCTTTGGAGCCTCCGGTGGCACCGTATTTTCTTGAACAACTTGGTTTTCGCCACCGGACAGGTTCTAGTTTTGGGCACAGGTGTGCTTAATTCAGCCAGGAAAGTTGTGCATGCCTAGTTGGCATGTGGCCGAGCGCTTTGGAGGCGCGTCGGCAATTGCATGCCGCAAAGACCGCGTGAAGGTTCCGTGTTAGATGTTGAGCCCGGGGCCGCTGGCAGCTCCCCGGAAATCCAGACTAGGCGACTTGGCTCGGCTTGGGGATGCGAACTGCTGGTCCTTGGGGTCAACCAATGCAACTCGATTAGTTCACTGATATGAGCAGGATTTTTTGGAGGAAAATTTGAGCCAGTCAAAAAATTACCCAAAGCAGGTGGATGTTGGATGTATTCTTCAAGATCTTAAGTGTTGCCGACTGCCGGGGCTCCGGCCGAGAGAAAGATGCAAGAGCTGCCTGTGACGACCTCACATGCACGTTGAAGAAAACATGGGCAGTCCAGCGCAACTGGCCAAGCAGGGAGTGGTTTTTGTATGCCCGTTGTTGAGTGTCACCCTGTCTGTTCATTGTTGGTTTTGTTTGTAGGTTCTCCAAAACCGTCAACCCTGAAAAGGGTGCCTTCTTTTCCCAAGGTTGCTGGGGCGACTGGGGAAGGTTCTTTCTGCGTGCAAATGGGATGTGATCGCTTCCTGTCTTCCCAGGCGAAGCCACCGGAGAAGTGGTTGGAATGCAAGTGGGCAACGGCTCATTGAGCAATTGAAGGGATGTGGTTGCACAGGGTCTCTCAATATTGAGTCTTGATTCACAGCGGCTAAGCGCGGGCGATCCTCATAGAAACCTTGTGGCCGTGGCCATGTTGTTTCACGAGCCAAGCTGGCTATCAGTCGGCAGCAGTCATCGTTTGCTCCTTCCAACCTCGCTCAGGGGTGCATCAACTTATTTTGGAATTTTGAACACAGCCAAATGCTGGGTCCTGAAAGTGAATAGGCCATTCCTGCCGATTCATGTTTTTTGTTGCATCCTGTTGAGGTCAGCAGCATGCGACAGTAGATTCCTTTGTTTGAATAGTTTCTCTCATGACTTGGCCAACTTGGTTGGTAAAAGGGCGCGACCCCTCATGTCCCAAGGGGAACCCTGGGTTTCGCTTTGCGCCCATTGTTCTGTAAGGCCGCACAACTTGTTTGCAACTGAAGGTGAACATGTTGGAGGGTTTCTCAGCTTCATCTTGGGTCTCTGTGGCGTCCCTCTAAACCCACCGTAAGCGTACTGGGAAGATGTGAACCTTTGTTGGACCTAGACCTGTTGCTGGCTGCAAAGAACAAGCAATCCCCGTGCTTTTCATGTTCACGAGCGCAGGTGGTGAAGGACCTGCAGAGGGAAGTGAAGGAGTTGCAAGAGGAGTGGCAGTCGGCAGCCAGGGCCACAGAAAGACTACAGGTCGCAGATTTTAGGACAAATTGCCCCAAACAGTTTTGTTCCATCCAATATGCTCATGTTAGAGGATCAGAAGAGATGGTCACACTAGGGTCTGTTTTCGGCAGCTCGGGTTGGCTAGGCATAGTTGACCAAAGGCTCAGCCTGGCCCAGGGCCCGGTTCGCTTGGGGCTTGCGCGTGACCCGCCACCGAGGACATCGGTGACGCCAAGCGCTTGTGCGTGGCTCTGGCGCAAGGGCGATGGGGGATCACATTCGCTAGACAAGTTGTGTGTTCTTCCCGTCCTTGTTCGGACGTGTTCTGGCTGTTTGGCAGTAGTCACCGCGTCGCCCTTCGAATCCCTTTGTCTTTGATGTATCCTCACGAAAAGTTGGGAATCCATGTTGTGGACCCCTGACTCACCCCAATGCAGTCGGGATTTTGGTTGCCACAAGCCACTAGTGACCAAGGGTTTGAATCCTCTTGACTAGGTGGAACTTTGGTATCGCAAAAAGGGGCAACCGTGCACCCCGAGTTCCCTTCCGAATCAACCTGCGTGTGCAGTTTCCTTCCAACCAGCGCAGTCCCCCCCAGCATTTGGGTTTGGACATGGAAAGAAGCAATGGCTGACTGCTGGAAGCGGCAGGGGCGACCTCCTCCTTTCCAGGGATCCTTCTTTTCAGGAAGGCTCTTGGAACCGGCGGAATCAGCCTCTTACAGCCCAGGCGCAAATCCTTTGCCCTGAGATGGGTTGGGACACGCCACGCCTATGTCAATCGCTTCCCCTGGGTGCGGCTGTCGGGTCCCTTGCGGACGCCGCAGGTGGCGCTGGAGGCGGAGGTCGCTGCCAAGGAGGCGCTTTTCGAGCGCGCCTGGGGGCCCGAAGGGCTCGAAGGGAAGGCCGGGTGGAAGATGGTGGAAGGAAGTGCCAAAGTTGGTTTGTTGGTGGTGGGTGTTTTGTCCATCAGAAAATTGATTGCAATATACTTTTCCTTCATTTGGTGACATGGATTCACACTTCTTGGTTCCACGTGCGGGCACCGCAGGCTGCTGAGGTAAGCTTATGCGTAAGTACTGCGGTTCAAAAGCTAGCGTCTTCAGGCAATAGTACCAGAATCCGTTGTGACAATCCCAAGTGAGAGCACTGTGACCACCTCAGTGGTGTTACGAGCTTTTGAACAACCATGTTGCAACTGACCAGGGAAGTTGAATGTACCATTGAAGTACTGTGGAAGGCATGGGAGTCATCGAAGATATGGAAAGCAATGAGCAGGTGCTGGCCATGAAGCGGGTTGGACGCAGGGGCTCGGAGGATGGTAGTTTGGGGGTGGCAAGGGGTGCCATCCAAGATTGCACAGCATGTGGACGCACCATGTGCTTGCAATCCTGGCTCGCGACGCGCGTAGCTTCAGGAGAAAAAACATCAATGGCAACAATCAGCTGACAACCCCTTTGGCGAGTGTTCTTGATGCAAAGCAGCAAACTCTGTTCTTCACACACGTCCGCCACGACTGTTTTTCCATTCCGCGTAGCCACAGGTAGATAGTCAGCGACTCCCGTGAATTTTGCCCCACCTCCACCAATGCGAATCGGTCAGAGTAATTGGTATTGGCCAAAGGCCATGGGAGCGCCATGGTCCGTTCCCTGTGGAGCCTGTGGAGCCTCTGGATCCTGCGGCTTGCGGCAGGTGCAGGCATGTGGGAAGCGATGCAGAGCCAGGGGTGTGTGCTCGTGCTGGGGGGTTGTCCAGCGAGAAGATGCCACGTGTGTGGAGTAGGGTAGGAGTGTAGCTTGGTGGCAGGTGGATGGATTGATTTCCTGTGGCATGTGAGGGCCGGCAGGGTGTTTGCACGTATCATCCACGTGGACATGTTATTTCAGTTATTTGCATATCTTTTATTGACAATATGTTTGTGGCTCTTGGATGATGTGCCTCCGATGGACACCAGTGGGGGGTTGGATCTATCACCTGTTGAGCGCTACTGACGTGGCCCATCCTTGGCTTCTCTACCCCCCTTCCCCGCTATAGCCTCCCTTGGCGGGCTGATGCAGGGCTCGCCGGCTCGCTGACCCGCCAGGCCAAGATGAGAGCGGCCGCGCCCTCGGAAGACTGAGACTCAAGCACGGACTGAGTCAAGTATGCGGATTGTGTGTTGAGCGAGTTGTGCTATTTTTCCCGGAGTGAGTGAGTGCATGTAAAATGTTCCGCCATCAATTCTAAGGACCGTTTGGCTAGAGCAAGCCACTGGATTGACTTGGCAGATGCAGTGAGCAGAAACATGTGGATCGCAAGCTCGGCTTCATCAAAGTGGGTGATGAAGTTAAGCCACAGCTAGGTACTGCAAGAGTTTTTCTTCCAAGTTCTTGCATTTTTAGCATTTTGTTGTTTCCAAGCGGAAGAGTGTGAGTTTGGGGCCATGAACATCTGGTTCAACTGCACTTCGGTCGCTATTTCGTCCATCGGCAATCTTGACAGTGTCAAGCGTGTGGCTCACAAAAAAATCAGGCCCTTTTGGAGTGGTGTCCAAGCAGATCGTGCAAGAGGAGTGCCCCGGGATCGCAGTCCCGGCGCTGACGCTGAGCTAAGTGGGAAGGGCGGTGATGCGTTGTTACAGGGAGGCGCAGGAGTTGAGGGAGGCAAGTCTGACGGGGTTGTGCGCAAGTGTCATTTGGCGCCGCCCTTTTAAGTTCTTTGGGGGGTACAAAACGCTCATCAAAAGGTACGTCCTGGAATTCTGAAATGTGACGAGTCAGTGGACAAACCTCCGGCAGGCTGCCGGGGGAAATGCTCCCAGCGCCGAGGAACTTCTGGAAGCAGCTGCAGGCCCACTTCTTCGAGGCCCAGTGCCGTGGGCTGCACTGAGCTTCTTTGCTTCAGCTGGCCGCTGAAAGGAGACACTTGGCCGACTTGGCCAGTCAACAGATCACACGACTGCCTGAATTGGAGGATCCCGCTTGTAAAGCGGGCGGGTGTTTGGAGGTATTCTTGCAGGAGCCCTGGGATTTGGGCAATGGTTCAACTATGCTGGGGCCTTTGAAAGGAAGCCGAAAGGAGGAGGTCTAAACAATGGGTGTTTGAGCAGGTTTTGAACAGGGGGTTGCTGAACCTGCGCAGGCCATCCATGAACCACACGGGGCGGAGAGACAAAGCTGCGCACTCATGCATGTGTTTAATGAGTGTTGTGAGCCGTGCTCATCACGGTTCATGGCATTTTGCAAGTCAGTACGTTATGTTAGTTTCACCATAATTATGGAAAATGACTTGCAAGATGCCACGCGCTCAACTACGTTTCAGCTAGTTTGCCTCCACAATGAATACCGGAGGTGGTTCCGGATGGCTGAGGGACGTCAAATTGCGGCTTCGCGCATTAGAACATGTTCCTGTTTCGTTTGGTATTGGTTTATGGGGAGCGCGCATAGGCCCCAATGCTTTTTGTCCGTTCCTCGGTCCTCCAGAACAAATCCTACCCATCCCAGCTCCGGTCGGGTTTTCGGGGGGACTGCGGATCGCTGGGCCACACAGGTCAGCCTACTACAGCTCGAGCGCGGACAGCAAGTTTATTGCACTGCTGGCTGGGGTGGAGGGGCTGAACATGCTGATGCGGAACCTTGGAAACATTGCCGGGTAGCAGAAAGGTTCCAGCTTGCATCACATGACGAGCGTCGTGTAAGCGCGCACTGGAGCCGATTTGGTTTAGGCCCCGTTGTTGGACCCATTTGGGTTTGTTTTGGGATCCCATTGCTCACTGCTAGAAGCGGTTGGAGCCCGTCTCAAGATTTCGGGGTGAGCGGAAGAACTGATTTTCTGAGGAACCTGGAGAGCGCCTATGCCTGCCCCATCCTGGCGGCGAGGAACTTCAAGCTGGTGGGCGACTGGTCGACTGCTGTGGGCCACCCCTACCGGGCCAGGCGGGAGGAAGATGGGGGAGGAGGTGGGGGGAGCTCTTGCTTCAAGATGTTGAAGCCACCGTTGGTTTGACACCTGTTTGTCCAGTTGCTCTTTTCAGGGTCAACGGGTCGAGTGCTCAAAGGTGGGTGGGGCGTCTTGAAAAGGCGATCCAGGACGAAAGAGGACACACGGAAGCCAATGTTGGGAAAGGCCCAAAGGATCCACAAGGCTGAAAGGGAGGGTGACCAGGAAAAGGGGGCGACCCTTTTTGTTCTTTAGGCGAGGGGTAGTTGGAGCAAGGTTTGGCTTGGGCCTCACTTAATGACAGTGCCAGGAAGTCTGTTTCCAGAACGGCCGCTCGTAGTTGAGTATATAATATATATATATATATATATATATATATGTGGACCCGCCAGTCCATACGCAGTACAACAAGTACTGCCCACTAGAGGTACGACCTGCAAACAGTTACTTTCGCCTGAGACAATGCGCCGCACCCTGCTCGGACGTTCAACACACTTTCTTAGTAAGTAGGTCAGTGGGGTAAACTCTGCTGCTTGAACTCTGCGCCAATGCTGCGTAGGAGTTTCCTTGGGGAGGGAGAGAGCCCGAGGTGCCTGCTGCAGCTTGGGAACATCTTCAAGATCCAGGCCAAGCAGATCGGCCGGCTGACTGGCTAGCCAACATTCGATTTCCCCAGAAGGAGACCAGAGCGGATGCGGTCAACAATCCCGCAACAATTGAACAGCGGCACCGAATAGGTTCCTCGCGTCGGGGACATGTGGTCGCAAGCTTATTGGATCTTATTGGTTTCCCTTCCAAACCCAAAAAAGAAAACTCTCACCAGCCGTTGGGGTATGTCAAAGTAGTGAATAGCGTGGCTGGCTTACAATAAATCAGAATACCAACCTTGGACAGGGTACCCCCAAAATCCTAGCATGCTCGGACTCACGGAGGCGATGGCTCGGTGGTACAACCAGCTGCCGTCCAGCAGTGCCCCCCAGCGCTTCGAGTCGAGGTTGCAGGCCGGGAAATGTGTTGAGGGATGTGAGGCGTGGGAACGCCCCCGGCTCTTCAGTGAAAAGCAGCTATGTTCTTGGCAGAGATGCAGTTTTTGGCTTAGAGAGGGCACTGGCTGGCCATGCACGTTGCTGGCCTGTTAGACCATTGATCCGCTGAATCGGCCAAACATGCTGTTGAGTGGGAAAGCTCACAAGAGCTCCATGTCTGGCAAAAAGGCGCGAGCCATCCCGGCGATGTGGGTGGACGTCTACCTCCCAAGTGGATCCAGCTGCCGCGTGCGCCTCTCGGCCGCCTCGGCCGTGCGCGAGCTCAAGGCGGAGGCCCAGCGCCGGCTGAGGCGCGGGTTCCTGCGGCTGCTGTGCGGCGGCCGGCAGCTGGATCCCTCCTGGACCTTGGCAGAGGAACGGGGCTGCGTACATTGACCCCTCAGCGGTGCTCCAAATTGGGGCGGGATAGCAGCGAAGAGAGGGAGAGAAATGTACACCCTTTGGGGTCTAAGCAGCGCCTTCTGTGCCAGTTCAGAGCAAGTCCTTGATAGTAGGTGGCTTGGGCATGATTGACGCCGTTGCTCTCACAGAGCTTGCTCCCGGTGCCGCTTGGCCATCTGGCTACAAGTTACAACATCGTAGCTTCTATGCGCGAAAGAAGTAAGCAAAGAAATTGCGCAGGTCTTGCTAGGCAATCGCAACTTTAAGCGCGAAAGCAGTACGGGAATTACACTTTCGCAGGTCCGATAGGAAAATATATATATTCGCGGAAAGGCCGCCGCGTGGGGGCCAGCGCTGCATGCAGTGAACTTGAGCAGAGAGCGTGCTTAGAGAAACTTGCTCAAAGAAACTTTCTCAGCGAACTTGCCTACAAAACTTGCTCAGAGAACTTGCGCAAACCCAAACAACTTGGGCATAGCCACTTGCGTAGAGAACTTGTTCAGAGAAACTTGCTTGCAGAACTTGCTCAGAGCACAGAATCAGTGTTCTGCGCGGTGTACATGCTGCTTACAACTCGGTCAACTATAGTTCCGGGCCACCCGTCTTCTAGTTGTTGCGGTTACAAGACCATCGAAAGCGCGGTCCAAGAGCAGTGAGTACGCATGGCGCTTGGCACGCTGCAAACCAAACCTGGGTGACAAATCTCTGAGTGGGCCCGGATATCATGTGGTAGGCGTACGCGCAGTCTGGAATGTGTGCTCTTGGGCAGGTGCGTTACTTAGGTGACAACCTGGAAAGAAGATCGCGGACTTGTCAGTGTCCTTCAGCATGTGGCCTGGTAAAACGACTTGGTGTCAACAGCATCTAGTCCTTTAAGTGGGGTGATGCTTGCAAAGGAACTGTGTGAAACCCTGAGGCCGGCCTGCGAGACGGGAGTGGGGTGGATGCCGTGGCGCAGTCTGTCCATTTGGCGGCCACGAGGACGGCCTTTGTGCTGGTCGGAGGGTCTGGCGCAGTGGTTTGGGGTGGTGGTGGTGGTCTTCCAGGGCCTGGACTGAAAGGCGCCATGCAAATCCAGGCGTCTCGCTTCAACCCGTTTTCGGCCGGTGCTGTTGCCGCAATCCTCGAGGATGGCTCCGTGGTAGCTTTTGGCGATCCAAGGAGTGGCGGTGACAGCAGCCAGGTGCAGCACCAGCTGGTGCAGGTGAAGTGGATCCAAGCAACGGGTGCTGCTTTTGCTGCCACTCGGGATGATGGCACTGTGGTAACGTGGGGGGATGACGGCTCGGGAGGCGACAGTGTTCACCTGCAGGACCGCCTGACGCAGGTCCGCCAGCTCCGAGCAACCAACTCTGCTTTTGCTGCCATCTTGGGCAGTGGCTTTGTGGTGACTTGGGGTGATCCTGGCGGCGGCGGTGACAGCAGACGGGTGCAACAGCAGCTGACGCAGGTGAAGCAGATCCAAGCAACTGACGCAGCCTTTGCTGCTATCAAAGGGGATGGTTCCGTGGTGACGTGGGGATGTCCGAGCAGCGGCGGAGACAGCTGGCGGGTGCAACACAAACTGAGGCGAGTGCAGCAGATTGCAGCAACTGATTCTGCTTTTGCCGCAATTTTGGATGATGGCTTTGTGGTGACATGGGGCAATGTGCTCCATGGTGGCGATAGCAGCCAAGTGCAGCACCGACTGATCCAGGTCAAGCAGATCGCAGCAACTGCTCGTGCCTTTGCTGCTATCAGAGGGGATGGTTCTGTGACGACCTGGGGCGATCCACTCTTTGGCAGTGACAGTAGGCAAGTGCGAGGCCAGCTACGGCAGGTCAAGCGCGTTCAAGCAAGTCAGCGTGCTTTCGCTGCCATCCTGTATGATGGCTCTGTAGTGACTTGGGGCCTGCCAGATTGGGGTGGCGACAGTAGCCAGGTGCAAGACCAGCTGACGCAGGTCCAGCACATCCAAGCCACTGGCGGGGCTTTTGCAGCTATTCGGGAGGATGGCTTTGTGGTGACGTGGGGCGATCCGGACTGCGGCGGTGATAGCAGCAGGGCTCAAGCTGAACTGGACCTTCTGTAGGGAAGACACGGCTTTGCGGCATTCTCGGCAAATTGGGGGGAGATCGTCAAAGGACCATGCGGAGTTTCCTTGTTGAATATCCCTCCGCAGCATTCGGTCCAGGCCAGACTATGAGGGCAAGCCAAGGCAAGGCGCTTTGAAGCCAAGCAAGTTGACTCTTCCCACTTGGATGGAAAAAGGCAGCAAGCAGCGACGAGCTCGTGTTTTTGTGTTTGTTTGTTTGTTTGTTTGTTTGTTTGTTTGCTTGCTTGCGTGCGTGCGTGCGTGCGTGCGTGCTTGCTTGCTTGCTTGCTTGCTTGCTTGCTTGCTTTTTTCCTGGCTTTGGTGAAGGCATGCACGGATCAGGGTAGCAAGGCGCCCTTTACCTCTGTTTGGGTTCCGCTTGCTTCATTTCCAGAGATGAGAGGAAAGACGTTAAGACCCCCTACTTACTTCCCCATCACAGCCCTTCTCAAATGGTTCCTTCCTTCAAAAGGAACAAACAAAAGAGTCGGCACACCCACACTTGCATAGTGTGGTCAAAAGGCCCTCGATCATGTTTATGCAAAAGGTGACAAATGTCAAATGTCCAGCAAATTTGGTTTTTGCACTACGAATGCATCGCGCGCCATTCTTCAGGGTCCCTTACCCGGATGCCTGGCTGATTTACAGAGGCCCCTTGTAAAGCGGCTTCTTTTCTTTTTATGCATCAGTCGTCGAGGATTTCTTTTAAGTTTCTCTCTAATTGGTGGCTTGGATTGGTGGTTTGGTGGGTACGGGGAGGCTTCCCGGTAGTTCAAATCCCCAAGCCCCACCAAGCAGAGGGAGGCTTGCTTCTTTGCCATAGGTGGAGTTCACCATCGCCATCACGCAGCTGCACGCAGCGCTGCAAGTTCCTTTGCGGCCACTTGCAGCGCGGACAGCAAGACATGTGCCTGCCGCTTTTTCAGGATGCATTTTTTGTTTTTTTTGGGTTATTTCAAGGACACCACCATTTTCTGGTTCGGTCCCCCCTGTTTTATTGGCACGTATCCGCATGAGCAGTCCCAAAACCCCCAATGGCAATTTTAGCAGGGGTTCCACTACCTGGTGTTTTGAGGGTTTGCGTATGGCCTTTTACATCTCTATAGTCATCTTGGCAGCACCAACCGTTGATGAGATTTGGGCGCTGCTCAGTCGTAGGCTGCCTTTGATCCCGAAGCAACAACCCTCACATGCTTCATGAGACAGGTTTTGGTACCCTTCCATCCCCCTGATTGGTTGAATCTTAAGTTGAATCATGATCTTTGGAGAGGTATTCGTCATGCTTAGGAAGCGGTTGCAGGCTTGATCTGGCTGAGCCCTTGTTCACCTCATGTGCACTCGCGCCCATGTGCAAGAACTTTGGACGCTTCCGAGATAACATCGCTTGCCATGCTCAAAGCGATTACCTGTTCATGGCAACAAAGCAGAGGATGGCCCTCCTTTCTTCAAGCGCAGGCTCATTCCATAAGGGGTCAGGACTTAGGTTTTTACGTTCCAAAATTGACTCCCCACTTTCAGTGCAGAGGATGCTTTTACAGGGTTGGTGGTACTCTTTGTGCGCGGCATCTTGCGCGCAACGCCTTGGGAAAGAATCTAGCGTTTTAGAATCTTTCGGTTTGGGCTTACCAATGTTTGTGGGCCCAGAGGGTCAGAATGGAGCTACTTCAAAATCCAACTTGAGTCGTAGCGACATGTCAGGCATCAATTTTAGCGCCTCACATCTCAGCATGGCCGGCCAGGTGCGGTGGCCGGGCGGCACGGCGCAGCCCCGGATCCAAGTGCACTCCATTTGCCACTACCGCGCCTTGCGTGCGAGAGGAACCCGGGGCCCAGGGCCTTGGCCGTTTTGGGCGTGCTTCGTGGATGACCCTGGGGTTGAAGTACCCCTTCGGAGAATTTGGAGTGCAACTCTGAAGGAGGGGCACTCGTGAATTATTCCTTGGTTTGCATTGGGGATGAGCAAACGGAACGCGGGGGGGGGGGGGGGGAGGGCAATTTTTGCCACGAGCAAAGCAGCAGATTGGGGAGCCTCCAAGCGTCAGCCAGTTGCCTCGTTGAGCAAAGCCATGCTGTTGATTTTGACTTGTCACAAAGTCGAAACGGCGGGTCTTGCCTGCAACGCCCGAGTTCCGACAGCCAGGGACCCTAAGCACCGCCAATGGGTGACACTGCAACAGAGCGTGATGCACTGAAACGCAACCGGACACTGGCAGCAGTCAAACGAAGACATGAGCTTCCGAACTGTCCGGAAAGAGCGGCATCCAAATCATGCGTGTAGTTTTCAAAGAGCTGGTGCCCCTTGCAAGGATGGTGAGGTCTTGGGAACACTGGATTGGGGGAGCAAAACCCTGGTTTACTGAACGACAACCCAAGATGCAAATTGCGTTTTCGCGCGCACCCAGGATTTGCACGGAAAGCGTGGACTTGATTCGCGCGCGGGGTTTGCTTAGAATATGCTTTGGCCAACGGCAACCACCGGGTGTTGAGGCACCGTGGGTCGGGTTTTGCCCTGGGCAAAACAATCGTCGGGCGCTGGATCCCATCAAAGGAATGCACCCTATCTTCATGCGGCGAGATGCCTGAACTGGGCTACTTTTTTTTTCTTCTTCTTTTTTTCTTGTTTGAGTTCATCTTTCATTGAAGCAGACTTTTTTGGGAGGATTGGTTGAAGCAGCATCCTCTAAATCCCTTTTTGCTTGGTGGGTTCCCCAGTGAGAAGCTCCAACAGGGAGCTTGGATGTTCGACTTGGCCAACTCCAGCGACGGAGGTCCGGACCCAAGCGCCCCGGGGGAGTGCCCGTTGCCGCAGCTGTCCGAGCCCAATCACCGCGCCTACGCGGAGCGGTTGGGCGGGCGCTGGGCGTGGGGTTCGGCTGGGTTCGGGGTGCTTGCCCGGAGGTTTGAACCCCGTTTTTGCCAAAACGCATCGGGAGAGCCTGTCCTCCAAACCGCCAAGTGCAAGTCGCCAGAAGGGGGGCAGGTCAGTTGCGAGGCCAGCAGTCGCGGCTGTGCCTTTCTTAACAACGTCCCTTTGCGTTTGCTGCACGCCCTCCCCGCAAATCATGTTACCAGGGCATGCGGCATTTCTTGGAGGGGGCGAACCTCTGGAAAAGGAGAGGCACGGGTACAAGTACGTCCTCCACACGGAGCTGCCATTGCCAGACCGGGAGGCGCACTACAGCAAGATGCTGGTCATCCACCAGGCGTGGCGTCGAGAAATTTGTCGAGTCCTGAGTCCTAAGAGGCCGTTGAACACTTGCTTGGGGGTTTCGGGCGGCGGGCTCTTTCTTGGGGAAAGTGGGCCGGACGTCACGGCATGGGGCCAATTGCCAATCGTCGAAAATAGTCGATTCCTTTGCCCAAAGCCGTTCAGTACAAGCCACTCTCGAACAGCAGCGTTTGTGGGGGCTAACTGCCTTGCCCTGTTTTAACCCTCCGTGGCCGGGGGGGGGAGGGGTTGATGGGTAAATCTTTGAAGAGGCAGACCAAGCTCTCACAATTGGAGGGAGGAGGGGAGGGGAGGGGAGGGGAGGGGAGGAGGGGAGGGGAGGGGAGGGGAGGGGAGGGAGGGAGGGAGGGGAGGGGAGGGGAGGGAGGGGAGGGGAGGGGGGGAGGGGAGGGGAGGGGAGGGGAGGGGAGGGAGGGGAGGGGAGGGGAGGGGGGGGGGAGGGAGGGAGGGACGCACACCCACACAACAGACACACATACTTGTTGTTACAAAGTTTGTAGAAACAAAAGCAAGTCTGCAGTTTTTCTGGGTCCTTAATTGTGAGCGTTAAATGTCATCATTGCACCAAAGAAAAAGCAAGAAGCCTCGCGTGGGAAGCGGAAGGAACCTAAGAAGCCAAGATCAGGCCTTCCTTTCCGCCGAGAGCCCTGACTGGGTTTTCTTCATTGACTGCGACGCCTTTTTCACCGACCCCCACACGCGACTGGAGGACGGGTATGCAGTGTGTGCCAAACCGGGGTACCTGTGGTTCGCCTTTCGCGGTTGGGTGTAAAGGCAAGCCACACTTTTCTGACGACTTCACGGCCTCAGTGCCCAGCGGTTGCCTTTTGCGTATGCGGGATACCCTCCCGGCTTCGAGCCCCGAGGTTGGTCACCCAGATGCCTGCAACATGAATGCCGTGAGTGTGTTTCGAGTTCCACGCATTCTTTTTTTCGGGGCGGGAATAAAAACCGCTCGGAAAGCCGCGATTCGAGGATATTCTCGCCACCTACGGCGCGGCCGGCGCAGGGCCGGACTTCCTTGTGGCGGAAGACCCCGGGGGCATCAACACGGGGCGCGGACCGGACCGCCGCACCGGCGTGGCCAAACCACCCCCTTAAAGGGAATCTAGTCAACCAACGTAAGAGCAAGTCCTCAAAAAAATACCCTCAGAAAAACAGCAGGGGATCTGAAGCTAGTAGAATTTCCAGGTTCCCCAATTTGTTTTTCCCTCCCCGCCCCCTTTTGAAAATATTCGCCGAGGGCAGTGCAATGTATATTTTTACAGGGCACATTAGGGCTCCGTATCGTGCGTCCCAATGTCCGTCAAAACCACGGCCAGCACGATGCTGGTGCGACGCAGCGAGTGGTCCCTGGTCTTCCTGGAGCGAGTGGCGAACAGCGGCTTCGCGGTGGCCTGGGACCAGCCCTTCGCTGAAAGGGAAGCCGAAAGGAAAGCCGACATTTTGGGGGCCCCCTTCTTTTGACACATGCCCTCTTGGACCTTGGGTCCAGGGGATAAACTGCACTCCCCTGGTTAGTATTTGCGATTAGTATAATTTTGGTTCCCTTTACACCCACCCAAAAACGGGCACCCTCAAAAGACTGACACACCCATGTGTCATATTAAGCAAGATGAAAGACCTCTATGTGACTGATGTCCTGATGCCTTCTTCCCCCGATGCGTGACCTTTCACCTTGAATTTTTTGAGAAAACGGTGTCCGAACTAAAGACGCCATTGTTTTTGGGGGTGGAAGCGCAGCCCAAGGCTTCGCATCTGTTTTCTCCTTCGATTTGCCTGTTATCTCTTCATTCCTAGTCGTGGCCCTGAAAGCATGTTACCCGTACCCTCCCATGGAAGCTGACGGAAGGCTGTTGGCAGGCTGCTTTGCGCTTGGGAAATTGGTCGGTCCACTTCCAATAGTGTATAGCTGGCAGCTGAGGTCCATGTTCTTCTGGGAGATCCTGCGCCGCGGCATTGATTGATTGGGAGGGGGAAGGGAAAAGCAGTAAGGAGCCACAGGGAAGGAAGGAAGGAAGGAAGGAAGGAAGGAAGGAAGGAAGGAAGGAAGGAAGGAAGGAAGGAAGGAAGGAAGGAAGGAAGGAAGGAAGGAAGGAAGGAAGGAAGGAAGGAGGGAAAGAGGCGGTCCTTTTTTGCTTTTCTTCTTGCTTTTTTTTGAGCGGGGCATTGCGCGGAAGAAACCTGCAAGTCTTTTCCTCCTTGTAGTGATGTAAACTGTGCCTGTTGGTGTGATTCGGCTACAAGGTTTTCTGATGGCTCGGTGTTTTGGGACCTTTTCTTTCGTGGGAGGAACTGCCGTGCCGGGCCTTGGCGTCCTGGGGGGTAAAGGGCCTTGTTTCGTAAAACTGCCCTTGCCACCCCTGATTCAAACACGCACTGCGCACACACACAAATTGTTGTAAGATCTCTGCACACACGCGCACCTCCAGTTTTGGCATTTTTTTTTTGGGTCTGTGGCTCCAAAGCCAAGCCGCCCGAGGAACCCGAGCTTGCTCCCCAAGGTGCCAGAGCGCTCCACTGTGGCCACGGACTACTCCCTTCCGAAGGAGGTGGCCCTGGTGCACCAGGCGAGCCAGAAGTCTCCAAGTGGGGCGTGTCCTTTGTTGAGGGTACCCTCTTTGGGTTGGTTTAGCAGGAAACCAAAAGGAAACCAAAAGGAAACCATCCTCTGTGTGTTTGTCCCCTATTTCAAGATAAGCCCCAGTGGCCGCGGTTAATCTTCACTCCAGGTTGGCCGTTTTTCTCGCGTGATGGAATTCGTTTGTTTTCTGAATCTTGAATTCTTTGCCCTGTGGCTTCTGACGACGAAGGCTGAGGGCATAATTAAAGCGAATTCGCCCACCCCCAAGCAGCCACCACCAATATAAATCAGGGAGCGAATTCAAAACCAGGCGTACACAAACAAAATAAAGCAAATAGCAGTTGTTGCGCATGACATGACATCAGCTAGTTTGGGGAACAACCAACTGGTAACCAAGTGTGGTCGTCAGGTCTCGTCGCAGCTTTGTTGTCAACGTCAGAAAAGTGCCTCGAGCGAAAGTAAGTGCCATGAAAACAGAAAGTGCACGCGCCACGGAAGTGTCCGAGTCACCAAGCGCAAGGGGCAAGCAGGGAGACAAGTGTGGGGGACAAGCGGGGAGAGAGCAGGGGTACCAGGGGCAACCATCTCGTGGCTGGGGGCAATTCTTTGCATGAATAGAGAACACCAAGAGACAGTTACATCAATAGATAAATTGACAGACCTTATAAATCGTTTCGCACGTAATTTTGCAATCAAGCATACATGCATGCATGCATACATGCGCACGCACGCACGTACATGAGTCAACCTCAGAATTATCAAAGACCACTTTATCAACGGCGTTTCATTCAATACTGGTTTTTTGCATTTTCCTTGGAGAACGATAGGGGACTCACAAAAAACGATACCCCTGAACGTGGTTTGTGCTGGACCTTCGAGCTGGAGCTGCCGAAGTCTAACTTGTGTACCGTGCCTGTACTGAAAGCTGCGGCTTGCGACCTGGAGGTTGCTGCCAGCAAGCAAAAGCCGCTTAGACTGACACGTGACCGCCGCAAGCTGCGACCTTCGAGCTGGAGCTGCCGAAGTGTAACTTGTGCACTGCGCTTGTGGTGAAAGTTGCGACTTGCGACCTTGAGGTTGCTGCCAGCAAGCAAGCCGCCAAGACTGATATATGATTACCGCAAGGCAGAGAAGGCTATTGTGTGTTTGCTTGGCTCTAACAGCTTATGGAAAATTGTGAAAATTTTCGTCACGCGACACACGCCCAGAACGATACCCCGGTCGATACCCCGTCGATACCCCGAGCATTGGCCCGAGTTGCAAATGTGAGGCCTAGTGCATTTGCTTACAAAAGACTACGCGTGTGGTTCCAGTGCTGTGTTTGCGTAGAAAGTTTGTCGGGTGCTTTTCGAGTTCGCGCGGCGCTATAGCGAGAGCGCTTGGGCACGCGTGGTCACCGCGAAGAGGGTTCACCGGGCACTTTCCAAATTCGCACGGAGTCGCAGCGAGGGCGCTTTGACACGCGCAATCCTCGCAGAGGGTTCATTGGGCACTTTACGAATTTGCACGGCGCCACAGCGAGAGCGCTTGGGCGCGCAGGATCACTGCAGAGGGTTCACCGGGCACTTTCCAAATTCGCACGGCGTCGCAGCGAGGGCGCTTTGACACGCGCAATCCTCGCAGAGGGTTCATTGGGCACTTTACGAATTTGCACGGCGCCACAGCGAGAGCGCTTGGGCGCGCAGGATCCCTGCAGAGGGTTCATCGGGCAGTTTTAAAATTCGCACGGCGTCACAGCGAGGGCGCTGTGGCACGCGCAATCCTCGCAGAGGGTTCATCGGGCGCTTTACAAATTCGCACGGCGCCACAATGGGAGCGCTTCGAGGCGCGCGATCCCTGCAGAGGGTTCATCGGGCACAGCACGAACACGCGAAACGTGGAGAACGATAGGGGACTCACTAAAAGTAGAATGAATACACCCCACACAGCAAATATAGACGCTGGCTCACATACATGCATGCAACAGACAGACATACGTACGTACGTACATACATGCATACATACATACAGACTTACATGTTTTTCATGTGTGTACATACGCATGCTTTAATGTATATATATATAATATATATAGCTCTTGTCAAACTATAGACACACTCAGAACTGTAGAGTAAAAATCATGCTTGCACCTTCAAGTAACTGACAGGCCATCGTAATTGCAATTACTGGTGAAATTTTAATCGTTGGGTGTGTAGTTTGAGGGTCGTTTCCAGAGGCGCACCTGAACGCCTTTGTGCCGCCGGCCAGCGGGGACTGGTCGGCCCACGAGTGGCGACCGGGGGACTTCGTGCGGCACTTTGCGGGCTGTCCCTGGCAGGCGGGAGGGGGGGGGGCATCCACAAAGGATGGATGAAATACTCCCCCCCCCCCCAAACGAACGTGGCACCCGACAGAGGGTGATCTTCCAGGCACCCTGCCACTACGAGAAGGCAGAGGAGGTTGTTGGAACAATAGTGGTTTGATTTTCTTACATGTTAAAACGTGTTTGGGGCGGTGGTGCCCTAATATAGGAAGCTTGCTCGTGCACGTTTCCTTTTCCAATTTGGAATTGACATAGTATGGACAGACCCCCGCTTCACTTTTAGGTTGAGGGTGGGACATCTTGCAGGTTGTTTTGTGTCCTTCACACTTTTCTCGTGGGGTGGGCATCTCGCAGGGTAATTTGCAGCCAAACGTGGTTTCGGAAAGAATCCACCATTCCGGGTTTTATCCACCGCTGGCAGGAGAGCCATTGCCTGAGCCTCATGCGGGAGACAGCCTTCGCTGCCCAACAGCAGCTGAAAGCATAGAGAGATCTCTGCAGGTGGGCACTGTCGGGGGATGGGGGTGGACCAACATTCCGGTGGATTGGGGGTGGCTTTGTTGGCCCTTTTGACAGGGCGGGTTGCTGGCCAGTTGCCTTGGAGAGGTGCTTGAGGTGATGGCAACGTCATGGCTTGAGGTGGCGTGAATCGCTTAGCATGGTAATGGTGCAAGGCAGGTGCCATCACTCAGTTGCCGGCAGCCTTCAACTCAACCGGGGGCCTAGCGCAGGCCAAAGACGAGCCAGAGGTCCAGGGCAGTCCGGCGGCCGGTCCTGCGGTGCGAAGCTGCCAAAAGAAAAGCGGGCGAGGTATGCGTTGAGGGATGCCTTTCAGGTTGCACAGTGAGCTTCGCCATGTTAAGGAACGCATCGCAAGCAAAGCGAGGGGAGCTTCCGCAAGAAGCTGTCACATCTACGTTTGAGGCACCCCTCTCGTGAAGGAAGGGCCCTGACAGGGTCTGCCGAGCTTGGGGGCGCGTGCCACCTTAGATGCGCCCGCCGAAACTCCGCGGCCTGGCTCAGACTCATGACGCTCAATATTTGATTAGTGTACGGTACGTAGCAAAAGGTTCCGTCATTCCTAGGGCCTTTCAGGCAGGCTGGAGGGGAGGGCGCAGCAGTGAGGATGTACCCGAGTTCGAGTGTTGTGGAGGGCTTGGCTAGCTGGGGTCCACCATTTTGTGGCACAGCCGGTTGTCGCTGGAAAGGGTGCAGGTTTCTGAGTGAAAGGTGCCTGCACTTGGGTAGGGATGTGGCCAAGAATTTCAATGGGGAACCCGCTTCAAATGGTTCGTGGACACGACCCCCATGTAAAATGTTGTCCAAACGCGAACGCTTGCTATCAGATCCCATGTTCCCTCGGATCGCCGCGTCACTTTTGCCAGGAAAAGAGTTCCATGGCGCAAATCCTCGTCACGGTCCTCGCATTGGGCACCGCATGGCCCGGTGACAAGGGGAGGGAGCACAATGTCCGGCATGGAATGTAGAGAGAAGCGGTTGGCATCTCTGCTTGGACATTTCCTGCAGAGTGTAGTGTTTCAGGAAATGTGAATGGAAAGCGAGGAAGGAAGCAAGTAAACAAACCCTAATCAAGTCTTAAGCCTACCCTAAACCACCATTATTTCACCGACCCAAGCTCCACCCTTAGCCCACTAGCTCAGCAAGAAAGCCTACCGTACGTGTACACCAAGCCCACACTAAACCTACCCAACCCCACCCACCCTAAAATTAGCGACTCCACCCTTACCACACCCAAGCCCATCCTAAACTCCCAGTCTGAGACCTTGCACTTCTAAAACCGGCCCAAACCCACCAAAACAAATTGTGCGGGAATGGGAAGCAGCCCCGGAAATCATTACACAAAAAAACATGCACAACCCAGCTTCAGTCTTTATTTGGATTCCACATGTTTGCAATTGTTTGGTCAATGGGGCCCTCTTTTTTCTGACCCCCCTCCCCCCCTGCGATTTTTGGGCTCACTGGCCCCGTGGTCAAGTGGAGGTCAAAAATCCGGGCCAAACTTTTGAAAAGAAGCCGCCAACCATTTTCTGGATTTGCATGGAACCACCTGAGGGCGGATCCCATGGATGTGGTGCGCCTGAACCGGCACCTCTTCACCGCCAACGTGCTGCACCTGGGGCTCAAAGTGGCGTAAGTGGCTCTTCAGACGCGTGGTTTTGGTGAGGTTGACGGCTGCTCATCAGAGGAAGATTGAATTCTCTTGAGATTGGCGACTGGGGGTTCTCTTGCGGTAGCTTGAAGGTTGGTGATAAAGCAAGGTCCCTCGACAGCGCTCCCATGGCGACAAGAGCCTCCTTCGCCGTTTGTCGATGTGGCTTGATTTGCTCGTTCAAGAGTGCTTGCCACGATATCTTTCGCCTTGACGCTCTTCTCTCGCCCCAGTGGTGAGAGTAGTGCAGGCGAAGCGCTTGGCAAGGCCGTGAGCTGCTTGCCAATACTCCAATATTCACCTTGCGCAAGCTATTGGTTTGCAGTGTGTGAGCTGCAGTGGGTGTGACACAGCCGTGGGGAGATTGCGTTTTGAGCGCGTTTCCCAGTCCAGCGTAAAGCAGCTTCAGCAGGCAGCATTGTGGCATGTAAGCCCAGGGGTCCCAAAATGGTGTTAGCCAATCGAGCCCTTCCTTTGGGCCAATGTCAGGAACCCTGCGGGCAGAGGCGCAGAGTGCCCTGGCTGGCAGCGGGCTCGGGGTGGCCATTGGTCAAAAATTCCCTCCGCAAAGCCTGAGATACATCCGAAACATTCAGCAGAGATACAGGCGAATGTGATGTGCTTTGGAGCCTTCCCTTGGGGCGCGGGAGAGCAGGGGGGAGGGGGGCAGGGCCTAAGTGCAAGCATCTCTTTTGCGAAATGGCAGGTGGCACGCCCCCGTAGCCCCTTGCCAGGCAGTGGGTGGTGTCCTTCTGCCCGCACTGGTGGAGGCCTTGCCAGACTTTCGCCTCACGCTTCGCCAAGAATGCGAAGCAATGGCATTCCGAGCCTCTCGGAAGCTGATGGGCAATTAGACGGACTGCGATTCACGCGGAAAGCCGGCGGTGTGTTGCCAGGGAGCCGACCCTTGTCTTGTTGAAGCTCATTCAGGGCACACAGATACTCTTTCTGCTCTCAGTGGGTCAGAGAGCTCACCGAAAGGGCCTGCAGCCGAAAACCGAGGCTCAATACCGACTCCTCTTTTGTGCGCGTGCGCTTTGCTGAGGCCCGTTGGGGCTGGCTGTCTACTCCCAACATGTTTTTTTCTATTCCACGATGTCAACCCAATATATCTCTGAACCCATGGTTTTTTCATGAAGCGGAAGGTCCTTGGGCATTCGTGGGACTGGTGAGTCAACCTCAGGTCAGGTTCCTATCATTCTCAAGATTGGACAGGGTTGTCAAAGAGAGGGAGCGCGCTTGTCCGCCCTGTCTGGCAAGACAAGGCAACTTCGAACAAGCATGAGTGGATAGGGTGCACAGGTTGCAAGGGTGAATGTTGAAGTCACGTGCCGAGGCAAAAGAGCATTATTGCACAGGGCTGCTTGAAAGATACAAGTTGGCCAACTTCAAACATTGCCTTTTCACCAGGCCCACAGAAATTCTCCTGTTTGGGCGGGGGGGGGGGCGATGTTCTGCTGTTCCCTTGCGTGACCTGTGAGGTAGACTGTGCCGCGGAGAAAGCCTTGTGCAATGAGCAGGGCGTGAAGACCTACCCAAGAGCCGCCGCCTCAGCTCAACTGAAGCGCCTGAAGTCTATATCCAGACCGTAGATGTCCTTCAGTCAGTGACGCTCAGTTGAACCGTTCTGTCACAGGGAAACCTCGGGGCCCGAGGTGGCCGTCTACCGCGGCGGCGAGCAGGTGGAGCAGACAGGTGCCGCTGGAAATCAGCCAGTTCTGGGGGTGTCTCCTTTGTTTGACTCATGCCCAAATGGGTGTTCAAGAGGGTAGTCTTCCAAAACCACCCTGACAACTTCCCCCATGGTTTTGCGGAAAGAGGGTGACGTCCCGCCAGGAATCCTCACTTTTGGTTTGTTTGCTTCACTCTGCTTTTTTGGCCCGTTCGCTTCGACAAAAAGCGTTGTCCCCTCCCGTCGTGCGGCCAGGAGGACTGAAGTGGAGTTCGCAGGAAAAGACGCTCGGCGTACACAGCAGCGCTTTCGGGCGGCGCTGGACTTTGTCTCGAAAGCAGGCGATCCCAATTCCCAGAGCACTGAACAGTCTCTACTTTGCACAAAGGATGCCCTTTTTGCACGACTGCTCGCAGGAGCGTGCTAGTCAGAGACATTCCCACAAGATGGATCATTGCCCACTGAAAGGGGGAGCAGCCCTGGTACGTTTCGGCGGATCGCCAAGTTTGTGCTTTCTTTTTTGGGCGCTCTTGGTGCAACCCTTTTGTTTGGAAGGGTCCCTACCTTCTTGGAAGGGAGGCCCACACCTGTGGCCCACGTGCAGTGGGAGCTCTCAAATGACATCACGTTTTAGACGTTCCTGCAGCAGCAGATTCGAGTCTTGCCGCATCTCTGTCTAAGAGGTGCGTGTTTTAAGACAAAAAGCATGGTCGACCCGCTTCGCCGAGTCATTTGGAGACGTGGCTCGAAGAACAGCTCCGCCCGATGCAGGCGGCACCTGGGTGGGGGTCAATGGAGTTGAGATTTGCAGGTGGTGGTGCTTTCCGGAAGGTGCACTTTCCTCATGGCCGGGTGGGACAAGTCCAAGTGCAGCTCAAACAAGGCCTCGGTTGGATTGTTTTCTGGGGTCGTGTCGCGTGGATTCTCCAGAAAGGGTTCTTTCCACAACTGGGGGCATCCAAAGTGTTCTGTCCCGCAAACAATGCCCTTTCTGCAAATTGTGGTTTGCCCAAAAGGTGGTGTTCCTTAAAAGGTTTTCCAAAAGCGGTTCTCCACAACAGCGGGCTTCCCCAAAATTGTTCCTTCTCCAACAGTAGTTTTCTCCAATTCTAAAAGTGGGGGGGGGGGTTGCCAAAGTTTTCCGCCACAAGCGGTCGCAGGCATCCTCTTTTGCGGGGTCAGTCCAACTACCGCTGGGCTTGAGCCGCTCGGCTGACGCCTCTTGCTAATTTTAGGTGCTGTGCCTCGTGACTCACTCGTGACCCAAAGTTCTGAAGTCCAGGCTGCACTGGTTTGCCACATGCTGCCGTTATCCACGCACTTCCAAATAGACCATAGGCTACTGATACCTTGGCCAAACCTCGTACGTGAAAACCAAGCAGCCTGCGTGGAATGCTCCACGACTGGAAAAGGCCAACAACCAACAAAAGCAAGCAACTTGAGACAGAACAGACCAAACGCTGGCACAGAAGTGCCAACGCAGCTCTTTACCAGCCTGCTCTAGACAAGTCCTCTTCGCAGGCATCGAGCATGCGGCTTGTGAAGCAAGAACGTCGAAATGGCAAGGAACGTAGACGGAAAAGCATGCGTCCGGGGAAAAATCCTCCTTCAGTGGGAGTCATTCTTGATGACCAAGCCGAGGCATGCAATGGAATGCGTTTGAATGCGTTTGTTTCAACTAGAGCAATCCTGTCCCTGTTGGGCGCCTAGTGCGAACAACACGCGCACTTGCAGAATCCTCCGCCTCTTACCTCACTAGATGCATCTTGGAAATCGCGTCTGAAATACGTGGCCCCAACTTTTTTGGCCAGGTTCGATCTAGGAAGCCAGAAAAAGTTGTTGGGGTACCCCCTTTTGGGTTTCAGACAGAATCCCAAAGGAAGCCACTTGCTGTAGGAGTTCCCCTTAGACTCAACACACCCACCTGATATCCGCTCTGAGGCCAATATTGGCAGTTGTCGTCCGAGGGCCTTGGCGCCTCGCTTTGCATTGCCCCAGTCGGGCAGATCGAGATGGATGTGTGGGGGCGTCTGTTTCAAGGGCATCCCTTTCCGGATTGTGTTAATGGAGGCCAAAGAAACATAGTCTTAGACACATTTTTTTTGGGTTTCTGCACTTTGCGTACCTTAGGACGCACAGCCCAAAATGAAAGTTATCCTGCTCCAAGTCAGCCTTGGATGGTTTTGGAATCGATGTAGTTGTGGCAGATGGTGGAACCCGGAAATTTGAGTGGGCTGCCACATCTCATGTCAGGAGGGACAGTTTCGAATCGCTTGTTCGAGGGATTCCCCCAAAGCCCCCCACACACACGCACAATCACACGCACACATATTGTAATGCAGTGCATTCTGCACGTACTGGAACCTGTTGCGCTCATTGATCTTACGTCCGTATATTTTGCTAATGTTGGAACATGTGGAAACATGTCTTGTGTGAGGAATGCTTGACCAAAATGGCATGTGCCATTTTGGCTCAAGCTCGGAACAACTGGTCTAAGATTTGAAAAAGCTATTGCTTCTGTACCCACTCCCTCTCTCTTGCCATGGCTTCTTCTACCTCGGCAAGTTCGTTCGAGCTGGTGGAGGATCTCTCGGAGGAGAAGATTGCGTTGGCGGAGATGGAGCTCGAGGGCAGCCGTGCGGCAGAGGCGGCGGTTCGAGCGGGTTTGTGCCTGGAGGCATCGGAGGCTCCCCAAAAGAGCTCCGGCCTGCTTGGCTCGCCTCAAGGTTACCTTTGAGTCGAAGATGGAGCCGAGCCCGGCTCCCGCCCAGCCCTGGTGGGGAGCCGGCCGTGGCCCCCATGCGTAGTGGATTCGGAGAGCTCAAAGTCCTCCATGCCAGGGATTGGATTCGTCAAGGGGGATGCCTTGAACGCCTCTGGGCCGGCCCCGATGGTTGCCCTCGTCGCAGACAAGGACAGAGCGGGCTACCATCGCATTTCATGCCGGCCACTTTCCCGGCCATTTCTCGCACGGCGGCCCGCCTTCTTCGGGACATCGCCATGGAGGAGATGGGGGCCCTCTTCTTCGAGCTTAAGGACGCGGACTTGACAGAGTCCCTGACTAATTATATATCTCCATGAGTTACAGCTGCGCCAGGAGGAGGTCTGGAAGTCTCAACATCAACGCAACAAGCGCAGCTTGGGTGGCTTACGACCGCACGCAGTGGATGGCCAGCTGCTGCTGGGCATGCGCGAGCACCAAGTCCTTCCCCTACCAGCGGCCCGTCGGACGGAACCCTCAACGGCAAGCCTACGTGGACAACGACAGAAGGCCGTGCTCCAGCCGCTCCAGGAGGGCGTGCAGTCCACCCTGGGCGCGAAAAACAAGGAGAGCCAAGAAGGTGAACCAGGAGCTCCAGGTCTCGGTTTCTTTAGCTTCGCAGCCCTGTTCTGCCTCTGGACCCTTTAGCCAAGTTTAAAGACCCATAGAAACAAGGCTAAGTTGCTCACGCAGGCCCCCTCAGCCTGACCTGGCCAGCGTGGAGCCATCAAAAAGCACCAGAAAAAGCTTCGGATGTATGGACACCATCAGCAGTTCTCGCTGGATGCCAAGGACGAGATGGCGCTGGCGCGGAGGACGCGCCCCCTCTGTAACAGAGTCAAGCCGATCATCTACCCCACCGCTTTGCCTTCCGGTACATCTACAGCGCTCCACCTCACAATACGCTGCAGGCAGCGCCTCTGCCAACTTCCTGGCCCACGGTGCAGGCCAAGAAGGATCCCTCCTTGGAGCAGCTTGGGGTTCCACGGCCCGCAAACAACAAGGACGAATGGAAGTTTGTCTTGCGGGAGATGGGGGCGTTTCTGGCGCTCGCGAACTGCCCGGCGCCGGTGATGGAGCTGCCGGTGGCGCCGCTCCATGATAGCAAGGAGGTTCCGGAGATTTACAACAAGCTGGTCTTGGAGCTGGGTAAGGGGGCCATGGTCAAGATCAAGGTTATAACGTGGAGGATCACCGGGTGGAGGCGGTCGCGGCGGAGATTGCCCCGTGTGCAAGCCGGGCTTCTCGGACGACGAAAGAAATCCGGGCGAAGGGCTGCGCCCCCCCCACCGTTGGAGCGCTAGGCGCGGAGTTCCCGCCCATTTTGACTTCCAACATCTCCGAACGACAGGAAGAAAGCACTTTCTGGCGGACGCCAAGCGCGTCCATCATGAACCTCCAGATGGCCTTCAAGCAGTGTCGCGATGGGGGCGGGGAGGGGGACGCCGGGATCGAGTTGCCACCCGACGTCCGGGAAATCCTACATCCTGGAGCACTGCACGATTTGGCAGACGGACAGCCGTTTTATCTGGATTCTTGGAAAAGCTCGTCAGACCTTGGTGACCGGATTCGGGCTACCGAACAGGGGTTGTTTTGGGTCTCGGACCCCCACTGAAATTTTCAGGCCGTTGCGGAGCGAGCTCAAAGGGGAAGAGCCAGAGATCCAGGACCTCTGTAGACCAATTAATTGGGCACAACAACTACCCCTCGGCCAAGAACTTTGAGGATTTCATTCGGGGCATGGAGGGGATTCCGTGGACGGCCCTTTCTCCAAAACCGCGGCAGCCTCCGTGTGTTCATGCCAACCCAAGGAGCTGTGCCCGGGGCCCTTGGCGGGGATCGACAAGGGGGACAAGATGCCAACGGGATCATCCAAAAGCAGACGGAGGAGAGGACGGTAGCGCAGGCACTCCACTGGGTCCTGGACGGGGGAGTGGCCAGGGCTTGCCCGCAGCAGCTCAGGAGCTGGACAAGCGCCCCTCAACTTTCAAGCAAGCAAACCCTCGCAGGCGCATTGCAGCTTTGGAGATGTTGGGCACCCTTTTCCTCTGCAAGATGCTCCTCATCTGTCAGGGCTCTCTTCTCGGGTGAGGATCCCTGGGAACATCATGGCATGCTCAACCTGCTCCAAGAAGCCCTTCGTGGGCTGATGAGCTGACCCACCCCGAGAAGGTTCAGGTAGCCAAGTCTGACCTCTGCTCCAATTTGCTCTTCCTCCCCCGCATCCTGAACAGGGAGAATCTCTGATGTGTCGCCCACCCAGCAGGCGGTTCCCACCTCCTTCCGTTTTTTGCTTCGTAGTGGTGCCGGCAGGCGCTAATCAGCCTGGCACACCCACTCTAGGGAAGGTTATCTGGATGGGATGTCACACCCACTCCAGACCGGTTTTCCAATCTGACAGGGGTGGGGAGCCCCCTGGCGCCCATACCGAAAAGGTTGTGTCCGCTTTGCGTTTAGGCATTTTTGGTTAGCTTGCTTACACTTTATTATAGGTATATATATATATATATATACACAAACGTTCCAAAAAGGGGATCGCATCCGAGGCGAAGGGCCTTGGCTGGACCTCTTGCTGACAGTGGCGGCGGTGACGGCAAGCACTCAGCTGCTTGGAGAGTGCGGGGTGTAACCAGCTCACCACGTAGGTCCTTCACTTGGGGATCCCTTGTTCCAAGTCTTGGGCTCACACAACTGCGCAGAAGTAGGCTGTGACCATGGTGTCGAGTGGTGCAACCTGCGTCAGCTAACATACAACCATGTTTGTAACCCACTTTCAAAGTAGGTCGAGCACGCAAATATAAGGGCTGGTCCCTACGAGAAAGTCCCCCTGGCAACACCGTGACGAAGTTAAGGCTTGGCAAGCCTTAGTAAGGCCATGTTCAGGAGCCCGAGTGAAGGACTTGCTGAAAGGTCTCAGAGGCGTTGGCTGAGGAATACTTCGAAGTGCACAGGCCCCCCGAAAGAGACGTAGTATTTAATCAGAGTTTTTTTTTAAACTGGTGGGTGTATGGATGCTTTCTGATTGGATGCATGCTTTGTGTTCACTTGCTGTGCTTAACCCCAGATCAAGGTCCGCTTTCGTGAGGCAAGCCTGCAGGCGTGCCAACTCGTCATACCATTGTTTATTCGGATTGTTTGTTGCAGATTTCCAGCCGTGGTCATTCTATGGGCTTTGCTTTCAGAGAGGCTGGGCTGCTCAAGGCGAAAGCAGCAGGGCTGTGAGCTGGCGATGTTTGGTGGCTTCCGAAGAGGTTGACTGGTCGGTTGATGATTTGGCCTCACCTGCAAGGTTGGTGCGCACCGACAAGGCGTCGGGCCCGAGGCAGGGGAGAGTAATGCGGGTCCCCAGTGGTGCGCTTTTTTGGACGTGCTAAAAAGGGTTTGATTGAAAACACCAACTTCACGCAGGGTCTGGGGGTGCTAAACCAGCACCAACATTCTGAGGCCCTTTGTGGTTTGTGTTGAGCTTGCCTCCATCTGGTTTTGGCGAGTAGTCGTGCTTTGCACGAATTTGAGCACTCGTATTGAAGCCCATGGTTTCGGAATCTGGAAGCACCTTTGACACAGTCAGCACAACCAACACAGACCTCGAGGAACACCGAAGCCGTTGTGCCATGCACAATGCGCTTTGTTTAGGCGATTGTTTTTTGGCACTTGTGTTGCTTTTCCAGCCCGGATAATGCAAGGATGTGGACATCCGCTTTTTGGTTTCATTAGTTTTGGGCCTGCTCGTTCATCATTCATTCATTGATTCATTCATTCATTCATTCATTCATTCTTTCTTTCTTTCTTTCTTTCTTTCTTTCTTTCCTAGGTTTGATTCTGACTCCACTGATCTGACTCCCCTGATCTGATGTCGCCCAGGGTGCCACTCTTTGGACAGACGGGTCGCCTTCCGGCCCACCTGGACCTGTGATGCTGGAAGCGCTCTGGCTCCGGCAGTTCCATATCTCAGCTTTTCATATGCAAGGCGCACAAGGCGCCTGGCCAGCGGCTGGCCGTACACAAAACGGCCGAGCCCGCGCGGCGTTGGAATCCAAACCCCGAACTTCGACCAGGACTTGAAGCACCGGCCAGTCCCCGGAAGTTTTTGTGAACATCTGGTTTCAGGGGCTGTTCCTGCGAGCCAAGGGGAATCTACCACCAAAGCGATACACTGGGATGCTCACCTCGTTAGCGCAGAAAGGGAGATGTTCAACAATCATGATGGTTGGCGCGTGCGAGTGCCAGCAAGGTGAAATGGCAGCATGAGGTTCGGCGCAGAAGGCAGAACATACAGAAACAGGGGAGGAGCATTGGCGACATAAAAACCCGTGGGGGCTTGGAATGGAATGACCGGCACGAGTGGCCAAGCTTCGAGCTCCTTCGGTCTCCCTCAATGCTTGAATCGTCTTGCTGGAATTTGGCTAGGGCAAGGCAACCGGAGCTGGGTAGATGAAGGGCAGCCGGCACAGTCCCAGCCAAAATGAGGGGCGGATCTAATGACCCACGTATGGTTTGTGACAAGTCCGATCGGTACAGAGCGCCTGCATCAACACTTTGAAGTTAGAAGGCAGCAGAATGGCTACGTTTCGCTCAGCCAATAGAAAATAGCGGGTTGATTAAGCTCAGCACGCACGAAAACAGCATCCAACAGCCTCGTTTTGTCCGTCAACGCCCTTGACGGGCTAGGCGGACCCCTCTGCCACTTGGACCGACCTCAACTCGCGACCTGAGGTCAGGGCGCTGGAGGCGGAGGCGGCGGCCTTGCGCGCCTCGCAAGAGGACAACGAGGCCGCGGCGCTCGGGGCTGGTGGAAAAATAGTGGGGCCGCTTTTATTTGGAGGGTATAGTGGTCGTCGTGGTTTTTTCCTCCCTTTCTTAAGGTTGGTGCAAAGGGAAATGACTGTCAGAGCCATGTGTGTGCCCCTATTTTTGACATACGATGTGCAAAGAGAGCAAGACCCGGATGTCCCCAGGAGGAGCCACAAGTCTTCAACGAAGGGCCTGGTTTTTGTTAAGAGTTTACACCAAAGGCGTTCTCTCACCCCTGGTTGCTTCGGGAAGTTTTGGGCCTCAAAAGTGGTTCCACCTTCTTCTGCAAACTCGCAAGAAAGGTGTCGAAAAGATCACCTTCCTTGGGAAGCCACATGTGCTGTGGGCGCAGCTGTGGAATTTGAAGCGATTCTATGGATCTCGCGATGTGCTTCTCTCATCTGGCGTCGCATGCCGATTGGCCTCAGGCTTGTCAGCGCATGGCGGTTGGCTGTTTACGCACCTTTTGCACATCTGTATGGCGCAAACGCCTGAGTGGCTTGCTCGGCCGAAGTGTCTTGATGCGCGGAGGCCTTACGCTCCGAGGTGGCAACTTTGCGTCCGGGCCTTCGGCGGGGGGAGGGGGGGGCTTGATGAATGTCTGAAAGGGGTGTGGGGCGAGGGTGAGCAAGGAGTGGCGTTGGCGTGGTCATGGGCTCATGAGCTCATGCTGAGTAACCGATGCTTTTCCTGACTCGCCCTTAAGGAAGACAAGGTCACGGAAGTTCTTCCGGTTTTCCAGTGCACCACTAAATCGCGATGTGGATCCATTGTGAGGCAACCGTGGCTATTCAGCAAGATGGCCGTTCTTTTGCAACCCTGGCATTCGATGGTGCTGTTGATGAGCTGCTGGCCATATCCATTTTGCGCTTTCTGTCAAGGTGTCAAGTGTATGAAGGTTCCCAGTTTGCGTTCAATGCATATGTGAGTGGCAAAGGATTATTGCGCACCTCTTGTGCCCGCATTTCGTGCGAGTGACGTGCCAAGCTTGTGGTCAAGCTGACCGGGGCATTGGGAGATAGAGGACGGGACCAGGTTTGCCATGTTGTTTGGTGGTTGGCCACTGCGCATGCCGCACTTGAGGGAAGGGGTGTTGACGTGTCGGGAAGCCAGGTGCTTGGCTGCTGCAGGGGTTGACCCCACGGGCCGTCGGCACGTCAGGCCTTTTGCTTTTTTAGGCTCGCCGGCAGTGGGAGCGGCCAGCCAAAGAGGCAGGTCCAAGCCTTTCGAGCGAGCGAGCCATGGGCAACATGTGCTGCAATCCCAGTGGCCCCGCCCCGGTGATCGTCCACATTTACGCACCTCGGAAGGGAGAGTGCGGTTTTGCAGGAAGCTGGGTGGGCTTTTCAAGGGCAACCCGCGGGATTTTGCCCTAATGCCGAAGGTCCCCCTTGTACAATATGGGCGGAGGTTTGAGGGATTGGTCGTTCTTTTTTTGGGGTACAGGTTCAGACCTGATGCCGCGTTTCATTACATGTGTAGCGGGGCGGGCCCGAGGACGTCACCGGCTCGGCGCCCGTGCAATATGTGAACGAGGCGCGAAAAACAAGTGGGAAGGTCCAAGCGCGTGAAGGTGGCAGGGAGAAATCAGGCAGCTGTACAATTTGAGGGAAGTTCTCAGTGATTTCGCCGATGAAGGTTCCTTGCCTGGTAGTTCAATGGAGCGCTTCAGGCCTCAGCTCACTTCGAGAGCACGGCTTAGGTGCTGCGCCCTATGGGCACCGGCGCATTCCATGCTGCGGTGGAGGTTCACGGGAAGCGGGGCGCTCATCTTTGCCCCACGCAAGTGTGTGCTTTGGGGATGTGGGGGGGGGGGCTGGCGAGGGCTCACGGACTAGCAGGGGGCAGGAGCAGCAAAGAGTTCTCGTTGAATCGGAGGAGTCAAGGAGGAGCATGTGCATGACCTTTCCGCCATGAAATGAAGTGTTGCTCAAAATAAATCCCTAATCCCGCGTCCCGCCCATGAGCAGCCAAAAGCATTATGCCAGTTGCATCTTCCCTATTAGGGGTGCTTATTGTGGGCATCCAGGTTTGTTGGCGCTGGAGGTGTCGGATTTGCTGTTGGATTGCCAAACCAGTCCGGCAAAACGCTGAGAAAAGGACCACCCTGTGCCCACCCAGCGTGCCGGCGTTGCCCAGGGAATGGAGCTTCGGCCAGTGCAAGAGGGGCGGAGGGATCTTCTCCTGCGCGCCCACCTGCTGTGAGCTCCACTCGTACCGTGAGGCCGCCAAGCGCGCTGAGCTCCAGCGGGTAGGGACGGAGGAAATCGCAACACTGGAACACGCCCAACCAGGATTTCTGGGCTTGAAGCAACTGCGGCATTGAATCCCACCACCAATCATGCGAGTTGCACTGCTGTTGGTCATCATACATGTTCGGGATTCATCCCTTAGCATGACACAAGGTGGCAGCCACTTCTTCACGTCTTCCCAGCCTTTCGAGGTCAGGAAGCTACAGCGATTTATGGCCCCACCTCGCCCTGCCCCGCCCCGCCCCAAGGAAATCATGATCTTGCACCGTTTGTCCAGGCCTCCTTTCTATCACCCGGCTATTTGTTGCAACTTTCCATGCTCACCTTCCTTCTTTCCTCTCCGTTGCTTTTCTGGCCTCTGCGACGCGATGGGACAACTCAAGGATCCTTCAGTGGCCTTTCTGTCCGCATTGACTACGGGCAGCCCGAACTTGAGGTTTCCTTAAGAGCTTCCCAAGAGGCAAGGACTCATGCCCATCCCCTCATGAAGCAAGCGCCTGAAAGCATTGAAGGCCATCAGGTTTGACGCCGTTTTGGGTTAATTACTTGCGATTGCAAGGTGCCGAACCTGGCATCGCCAAAGCACATTTGCCCACTGGCCCACTGTCATGGAAAATGCGGGTCGCATAACCGCCCGGTTAGCCATATGAAAAGGGGCTGTTCCCTCCTTTCTTTGTTGCGAGGGTAGTTTTCTATTTGAGACCCTCGAAGCTGATTCAAAGTTGGTAGTGGCGAATGCCACTAAGGGTAACTGTGTCCCGGCCGTTCGAAGTTCTTTGGTTCGGCCTTCCACCTTTCACAATCCAAATAGCGGCGACCAGCCTAGGCCAGCCCAGTTGCCCCGTTTGCCTGCCGCCTGCCGCATTGAGACGTACTCCCGGTCAGGCAATCCACATGGGTCACACGGACCTGACTGAGTCGGAGGTGGAATCGGTGATCATGGAAATGCAGAAGCGGTGGAGAGGAAAGGCGGGCCAGGGCGCTCTGTAACGTACCCTCAAAAAAAGAGCACGAGCCCCATAATGCTGTGTATCTTGGTTGATTGGTGGGGCAGGCATTTGAACAGGTGCACTTATCATTGCATAGAAGTGGAGGGGGAACCTGAGGGTCTTGCACGGTCAAGAGTTTTGTTGACGCCGCCTTATAGGACCACCTCCACCATGAGCCTCTTGTGGGGATCCCATCCCTTGGAGCCATGACAGCCTCACGCTGGTTGTTACCACTGTCAGATGTAGGAAGGACTGGGCTTGCCCCACCTACAAACACGGTTTATTGCCCACCAAGCGTGCAGCTGGCAGCTGGTGGTGGACAAGCACCCAATCCTCTGCCCAAGATGAGCAACGGAGAGCACCGGAATCGGAGAGAGGGAGCTTTGGCTAAGGATTACGACGTGCTGCGGAAGAACTGCTGCCACTTCAGCGATGAGCTGTGCCAGCTCCTGGGGGTGGGAACGCTTCCCAGCTGGGTTGGGGCCTTGGGTCGAGACCCGGTCTCTAGTTCGTGTGGGTGATGGCTGGCTGGCTTGCTGGCTGGCTGGCTGGCTGGGTGGCTGGCTGGCTGGCTGGCTGGCTGGGTGGCGGCTGGCTGGCTGGCTGGCTGGCTGGCTGGCTGGCTGGCTGGCTGGCTGGCTGGCTGGTTGGTTGGTTGGTGGGTTGGTTGGTTGGTTGGTTGGTTGGTTGGTTGGTTGGTTGCCTGGCTGGCTTGCCTGGTTGGGCGGGGTGGTCGGTTGGTGTGTCTGTTGCTTGGTTGGTGGTTGGGTGGGGGTCGGTGGGTGGGTCTGGTGGGTGGGTCGGTCGGTCGATCGTTTGTTGGTTTGTTGGTTGGTGGGCTGGCTGGCTGGCTGGCTGGCTGGCTCGCTGGCTGGCTCGCTGGTTGGTTGGTTGGTTGGTTGGTTGGTTGGTTGGTTGGTTGGTTGGTTGGTTGGTTGGTTGGTTGGTTGGTTGGTTGGTTGGTTGGTTGGTTGGTTGATTGATTGGCTGGATGATGGATGATTGGGCGATCTTCTGAGCTCCAGCTAGAGTTTGCTAGGTGGAGGGTTCACATCACTTCAGGCTTGGCTTGATGGCCCCCTTCTTCAGCTGAACACTTTGAATGGATGTGTGGCCTTGCGCCGAGGTGACAAGTATGGCAGGGACATTCTCTCTCGTTGAGCCCAGCTTACGGGATCTGCGCCTCGGCAGGAAGTTAGGAACGGCTTAGGCTCATCAACAAGAACAGGAAGCTGCCTTTGATTCAGTTTCATTTGGGCACACATCCGAAATGGCCATTCTGTCAATTAGGGGCTACAACCGTTTTGATGCTTCTGGACACTGAAAGCCGCCGACCCGCAATTCAGACAAGCAACCGCCAGAAAACAGCAGCGCAATCCTCGTAAGCACTGCAACACATTTGGATTTGCCAGGACGATGGGCACGGTCGATATGATTGGCATGCGGAATCGCGCACTCGTGTCACACGGTGCCGGCTGAGTTCCCCTTTGGACGAAATGCACCATGATGTCGGCCAATCGCGTCGGCGGATTTTCAGATTGTATCGCCCGTTTCTGGTGGTCCCAGCTGTGCAGTTTAGAGCCGCTTCCCCAAGCGTCGCGGGACGGGGGTCTCAGTGCTCGTTGTTTCGTTTTCTGGCATGAGGAGAGCCCGGCTGATGAACCCCTTCTGCCTGGGCGGCAGAGAAAAGGAGAAGGAGAGGGAGAAGGAGGAGACGCAAAGAATTCTCCAGGCCCGTTTGCAAGATCAAAGCCTGCTTGGATCGCTTCCATAGTTGTTGGAAAAGGTTTTGGATGCCCCCTTGGGCAAGGACGACCGGATAAATGGACTGGGAGAGTTTAACACAGGGATTTTGGCTCAGCTACAGGCAAGTGGCTGAGTTGAGGCGTTTGAACCATGGCCCTGTGCTCGATGTGGGTGCATCGTCCAACAGCTATGTGGGTATGCGGTATGCATCACGGGGAGGGACGCTTAAAGGAACGCCAACAAGTACATCAGCCTCTCTTTCTTTCTTTCTTTCTTTCTTTCTTTCTTTCTTTCTTTCTTTCTTTCTTTCTTTCTTTCTTTCTTTCTTTCTTTCTTTCTTTCTTTCTTCTCTCCCTCTCTGCCTGCAGCAGATTCAAGTGTGAAATGGCAGTGGTCAAATAATGACCATGGCTTCAAGCATACGAGTTTATGTACATTGTTGCCAATAAGATTGGTTTTTGAGCAAGTGACGACTTGGTCAAACAAGTCATTCATTCATACAAGCTATCCAATAGTTCATGTACCTGCAAAAAGCGGCTTAACATTAGATGCGGGTCCAACAATGCTGCACTGCTAAGTTAATTAAACTGGGTCAACTCCTGTAGCAATCCAGCTTGCATGCCCTGAGCATTCGGCGAACCAGTTCGTCAACTATGTTGAGGTAAACAGGGGTACATAGGGGCATTTCATCCGCAACTGTGCATCGGTTCTTGCACACCAAGTGATGTGTTCGTTGATTATCACAGAAACTGGGAGACATAAATGCGGCTTCGATTTCATTCTTCGCATGCCGTTATATGTTCCTGCCCTTCTAGAACGTACTAATAATAGATATGCACTGCTAAACACACATTTTATTGACGTGCAATGCGTTTTGTCTACAAGAGGCTTACAGTACTTCTCATCACATGATAGGGCGTGCACTTTTGGTTTCCCTTTGGCATGGCTGAGAGCACGGACGTTGCACCCTAGCGGAGAATCATCCTTTATGCGAACTGGCCATATGGCACGGGCTTGGCAAAGGGAACTTTCGCGATCAAGAAGTGAAGCACAATAGAAGTCATGCTCATGAATGTTTCCCTTTGTGGAAAGTAGGGCGGCAGCCGCGCAGCAGAAGGCAGGTCATCTCTGATCATCCGGATTCGTGGGCAGGCTCGCTGAGGTCACAGGTTCGGACATAGGATATCGCCAAACACGGTGCGAGTTCTGCTCGGGATCCGAATGAGAGCGAAGGGGTCCCCGCCCCTGACAGCCTTGGTGCCACAAGTTGCACAGCGGCGGGTCGGGCCTGAAATGATGGCCCCCCGCTGCGGACCTAGCCATGGTCAAAAGACCCATGGTGATTTGTGGCCTCTGACAAAGGAATCGTGGATTCTTCGGGTTAGACCAGCATGGGCAACATGTGAGTTTTGACCATGGCACCCAAGCCCCGGGTCACGGGCAAGCCAAATGCGCCAAGGGTTGGCCTTGTCGCCTTCTTGTTCACCAAGGATCACGCATGTCCTTTATTGAAACCAATGGCGGTTTCAAATGGCTTTCCTTCCAAACGGTGCAATGTCAGGCGGGAAACCAAATGAAACAACAATCGGCCACCAACACCATGCGTGACAAGGCCACTCTGAATTCGCAGTGCACAAGTCTAGCGCGCCTCACCCAGAGAGGACGGCAACCTGTTTGCATGTAGAGTGGAAAGCAGCAACTGGATTTGGGGGGAAGGGGGAAGGCTTGGAGGCTTGGCGCTGAGGCCTTGTTGGCGAGATCCTGGTCAATGAGCACATGCCCCGCCCTGCATGCAGTTTCATTTGCGGTATTTCGCAGCACTATTTTGAGTGTCGGATTCCCTGGGTTGGCCCCATGAATCAATTGGCTGACAAATGAACTGTTTCCCGATCTTTGCCCTTGGACTTCTCTCATTTTTGACATCTTTTGACTCTTGCGGCTTCTGCCATGCGCTCATGCGCCGCTGGGCTTGGCTTTTGCCATGGGCGGCCTTCGCGGAGGATGTGGGATGCGAGAGGCGATTCTACGTGCTGAGCCTGGAGGCCGGGGCCAACAGCCCCACAGACGACAGAGGGGTCGGTTTTGGCTTTTTGCCTGGGGTTGATGTCCTTTTGGAAGTGGCAGCGTAGGCTCTGTGTCAATGTTTGCTCGACGGTCGGGGAATCTCGGCGGTCTTGTCTTTCGGGGGGAGGGGCCTGGCGCTCAGTCTCTAGGAAATCCCGGCTTAATTCACCTGGCAGTCAGAAGCCATTCTTTGGCCGTGTTGCTTCTGCTGCTTCTGTCCTGGTCTGCGTTTCGATTTGGCAAATCCCCAGTGAGCCACATTAACCACGCCATCGCCAGAGAAGATATTATGTAAAGGTAAAGCAAACAAACACCATCTAGCCTGGCCGAGCCTTTTCTAGCCTAAAGTCTTTTCCCTATGCGACAGGAGGCGGAGGTGCGTGCGCCCCAGCTGCGTCGGTGCAGCGTGCTGGCCTACGCTGAGGCTCTGCGCCGGGCGCTCGGTTCAGGGAAAATGGGCACGGGCTGGCTCCTTTTTCAGAATAGGCCCCCCTTCATCTCCTCGACATGTTCCCTCGGTGGGCACGACCCCAAGTGAGCGACTTGCGGAGCGGAGGCCGGGGGTTGGCCAGCAGCAAGTGCGCCGGCAGCCTCGAAGAAGCGGAGGTGGTGGTGGTGCCGGGGTACACCTTCCGCCCCCCGGCGTTTGGGTCCTTTTGGTAGGGGGAAAAGCTGTTTGGGGACCTCGTTGCCCGTGGATGCTTTGGCAGAAGTTCGGCCAATGTGTGCGACTTGCCGATCCCTGGTGCAGGGGGCTCGTTTTTGGCTAGTTTGCAGTCATCATTCCACTTTGGCCAACCACCAAGGGTTGCAAGCCAGGTTTACCTGGCATGCAGTGCTTGGTGATGCCGGCCCTTTCCACCGCATGTCGAGGAGTGGAACATAGGCCATATGATATCACATGAGGTTTGGTCCAGATCTCCAGCGGCCTATGGAAGCCAATGGAAGCATCGGTTTTCTGAGGCAACTGCCACTGGCCCAGCTACGGCCAGGGCTGCTCGGACGCGAATGTCTTCCGGGCTGGGGAGGAGTGCTACGACCCCAGCGCTGTGCAGAGCTACGGCGCCTCATCAGTTTCAACCGGGGAACCGGGCAGCTTCTGACCATTTTGTTGGGTTTCATTTTTTCCTGTGGGGGGGGGGGGGGGAGGGAGGGAATGCTGGGGGCAGGCTGTAGAAGCCACACGGCAAGTTTGTTTTTTGTCAGCCAGAGTCAAAGCCTCTAAGCACAGGATGCGGGAGAGAGAAAGGGGAGGTCTTGGCTCCACTTTTTGCTGTGTGGGCTGCACTCGTTGAGTTACGCATGTTTGCTCAGGGCTTTTCAGTTCCTTCAGACGTATCAAGCGTTTTGCCTTCTGCAGGCGATCCTTCTGTTAGGGAGGGCCAGCATTACTTCTCTTGGCCAACACGGAATGAAAATGGTTGGCTTTATGTACTGGCCGAAGCAAGCGGTGGAGAAGCGGGACAGTTGGGCAAGGAGATAGGTTTGAGAGATGGGTCCAGTTTCTCTGTGGTACCCTTTTTCCCTCTCGATTGGATCGTTCCCTTTGTCATTTGTCTAATGGCCTACCCCAGAAGCAGCTTCCTTTTTCCAGTAGGGTCATGGGGCAACTTGTTGGTTGGTTGGTGGGTGGGTGGGTGGGTAGGTGGGTGGGTGGGTCGGTCGGTCGGTCGGTCGGTTGGTTGGTTAGTTGGATTTAGCTTCGGAGCTTCATTTGACCGCAAGCTAAAAGACCATGAGAGGGGGGTGGATGTATTGACGAGCCCACCTGGAAATGCAACCGCTTGCCGCAGATCGCCTTGGGGATTCCCTTTCCAGGTTCGGCCCAGTGATTTGCCGAGACTCGTGATCCATCAAAGGCCTGCTGCGGGACCACCCCGACTTCGGGGGGAAGGCCCTGGCTCTGGTGGATGCTGGGGCGTCGGTGCTCAAGGCGGGAGAGAGTTTTTTGGGAAACAACTGGAGGGATGTGGCAAGCAGCTTAGACGGGCTTGGCCATCGGAGCTTGTTTTCTTGGTTTCTGCTTGTTCTTTGTCGTGTTTGCTTGTTTGCCTTTTTGTGTTGTTTGTCTTCTGGCGTTTTGCTTGGCATGTTTGTCCATGTTTGTTTCAATCGCGGGCGATACTTTCGGGGAGGGGATCCGCATTTTTAGTGAGGCTGTGGCCAGGGATGCGCGCTTGGACTGCCTTCGGGCCATCCACTTTCTATCATGTACCCGCACAGGCTAGGGCCCAAGGGGAAAACAAGCACCATTGTTTTTGAATACAAACCACGTTTTCCCCCATTTCAAGATGCACCGTTCGGCAACCTGAAGTTCCACAGACCTCCAGTGGCATCCCTTTCTGGACATCCACTGGTCTGGTTGACCTGTGCTTTGTGCTGCCTAGGCATGGCTTGCGGACGTCTACAGCGACCCCCGCTTCATTCTGCTGCGCCTGGGGCCAGCGCTGTGGTTCCATCGCGCGGGTGTGGATGTGTCGCTGCCACCCGGGCCCACGCCCAGGCAGGGGCGGAGGTGCACAAATCCGAAGCCCATGCGCATCTGCCTGGGCAGACAGGGGTCTGGTTGGGCCATTCTAATCAATCCAAAGTGGAAAACAGAGGATTTGGCTTTGGCTTGGGCTGCTTCTTTGAGCACCATGAGGGCAGCTTGTCATGATGCCCAGATGATCCCAGATGAGGCTTGTTCAAAGCAAAGGGTCCGAAATTTCGGCCAACAGAGGGTGCCCGGAATGTGTCCAACTGACAAAGAACATGAAGGTCACAAAAGGCCCAAACCCATGTCAAAGCGGATGTCCCAACTGCCCGGTTGTTGTGAGCTGTCCTTCACAGTGTCAGGTGCTCTGGTGCCGCAGCGCAGCACGCGATGGACGAGCCTCTGTCAGCGAGGCATGGGTTTGTCCATTTGCAGGTACCGTGGGCGGTTTCCCTTTTGGGTGCCCTTTAAAACGGCCCCAACAATTCGGGTTCCTGCCAAGCAACAACCAACGTTGTACCTTGGAGGCCCCACGTGAACTATTTGAAAGGTTGAACAAGCAAGCCCCTTCTCTAATGCATGAGGCACTTTACCACCGTTGTTGTGGGGCAGCATGAGACGGGGTCACAAAAGGCAATCGTTGAGACGTGGCAGCCAACGACTGAAACGACCTGATGTGTCATGCAGTGTTTACAGATCTCCGAAACAGGCCTTTCCAGTGCAAACACCTAGATTTTCCCTTTAGTGTGCCCCCTTTGGATTTCTTCAGAGCAAAATGGCGTCAGGCGCTACCTAGCCAGCTTCAAGGGCAAGCTGCGGAACAACGCCGCGCGTGTGGCGATGGCAAAACTTCACCACAACGACCTTGACGTGATTGTTGTGGACTCTTGGCTCTCATCACTGGCCTTGGCGTTTTATTCATTTCTCCCTCTTTGTTTTTCTGTTTTGCTTTTGCGGAGTTCCCAGGACCGGTTGGACGACAGCCACGGGTATGAGGAGCTCCTGTACTCTTCCGTCTTCCCCCTGACGCATGATCACACTTAGCTCCGCTTTTGCCCTTGGGCTGGTTTTGGAAGGTTTCCTTCAGGCTCCCTTGGCACAGTTGACTTTTCATCCCTGACTCGTTTTTTTTTTTTTGCGGGGGGGAGCCCTGTTTTGGGTTCCATGTGAATTTCCAGAGTTCGCGGTAAGGATCTTGGAGGGCGACATGCTCCAGACCTTCCGCTTCACCGAGGCGGTGTGCAGCGGGGGCATCCCGGTGCTGGTGACTTCTAGCCAGGTGCCTCCCTTGCAGGCACCGAGAAAAGCGGAAACGCGGCACGCCGCTTGTGACGGTAGCCCAATATGGCTGTGGGTCAAAACCAATGGTACCATTTCGGGTTTTCGGTGCACCACCTATTTTTATTTTTATTTTAGTGGGGATTGGGATGTTCACTGGGGGTGCGGGATTCTGACCCATGGCCATTTTTCGGCGGCATTTGGCTCTGCGCTTTGGCAGGAGCTGGTGCCCTTCGAGAGCTACGGGGTCCTTTTTCGCGAGGAGGAGCTGCCCTCGCTGGTGGCACGGCTCAGAGCTTTGGACGGCCTGACGCGGGCGCGGCTGCGCGAGAGGGCGCTGCAGGTTTGCCGGGCACACTTCAGGAGAGATGAAAATGGGCTGGGCCGGTCAAAATGGTTGACCCAGCAGTGCTCAGCCCTTGGTTGATTAATCGGGCGCAGGACCGTTCACTTTTGGAGAAAGATTGGGATTAGGATAGACGTATTGCTTTCTGCTCGTCCCTGCGCAAGGTTAGTAGGCGTCCCTCTTGCACGGCTGCGGTAGGGAACGAAAATAAGTCGGAAGCCAAGGTACTCTCCTGAAAACTAGCTTGCGACCTGAACAAGCCGGATATTTCAAAAGAATCTCCTTTTGGTGGACCCCTTTTGGAGTTCCTTGCTTATTTGCAGGGAATTATTTGTACTAGTTCCTGTGTTGCCAGGGGCATGGCGTTCCCGACTATCTGCATGCTCCATTTCAAGCGGTGGGTGAACTGACGGCAGGTGACCTGAAAGGAACCACACCATATGGTAGCACAGGCGGGCGAAGGCCGAATCGGCAGATTCTCAAGAGAAGGTTTCCCTTTGCAAACATGCCCTCCGAAAGTGTGCTTTGCGAGCATGCTTTGGGCAAGTGTGTTTTGCCGTGCTGCAGGCGCAAGACTGTGTGGCACAACTAGGAGCCTGTGAGTGTAGACAGTGGCTGATGTTGCATCATCCAATCCAATGCGTGTGCTTCGAGGATGGCACATGTGTTTTCACTCGTCTCCTTTTAGATCTTGCCCCCATTGGCCCCTTTCTTTCTCAGCATCCTCTCGATTTGTTGTGGGCCTTGTCCACCATGATGAAGTACAGGGCGACAACTCCAACCATCATCTTTCAGCATCTGGCTGTGGGTCAAAATTGAACCACCAGGGGACCGCAGGTTTTAGTCCATGTTTCCTTTTACCAGGCTTTATTTTGGGTACCTATTTTTGACCCAGAGCCATCTGATTCCAGATTTTCCGGAGGACGCTGGAGCTGCAGGCCGCCTCGGTGGCCTTGCAGCTCTCCCGGCGCCCCAGAAGCCAGGGCCGAAAGGAGGCCGGCAGTCCGGCCCAAACAGAGGGAACCAAAGCCGGTCGGCCCATTTTGAGCAGTTGGCCACAATGGAAGCCCACATAGCGTCTGGCTGAGATTTGCTCCATTTGCGGGGGCCGGTGTCCAGGACCAGACCCACCTTTGGGTGACAGGAATACGCGCAGTCTCTTTCTAGACTTGGCCTGACGCGCGGCTTGGATGTTTCTGATACCCTCAGGCAAACCCCAAAAAGGTACTGGTAATTGATACCTTGCCAGTTTGTGAAGCAACTGCAGGCAGCGCTGCTTGCAGAGTGTTTTGACGTTGATGCGAGAAGCGGTCATGAACAAGAGTGCTAACAAGCCCAACATGTGAATATTTCGAGCTGAGGCATGAACAGTCCGTGCTTTTTCCTTTGGGTGACTTCTTATGTATGATATCAGGTTTGGTTGGGGGAATAAGTTGAGGTAGGAAAGTCCATTTCGCTATGGGCCCCGCTGCTTCTGGCAAATCTGCCTTCAGGCATGCGGCCACGGCTTCCACGCTCTCAGCCTCACCGAGACCGAGGCGCCGGTAATCGCCGCGGGCGGTGGGGCCAGGCAGCCTCCGGGAGTGGACACGCAGGGGCCGCTAAGCGACCTGATTGAGATTCATAATTCATAAATGCTCGCTCGCTCTGGGGTAAAACGATCTCACCCACAATGAAGGTCCCTTACTTGGGGATTCCTTCTTTCCGGTTGGTGAATTGTAAGCAGTTTGCCTTGCAGAATTGAAAATGCTGCGCGCTGCCCGCCTTGGCCAAGCTGAAAAGAACCGACGTAAGAGCAATGTGGGCTTGAGCAATTGATGCCGGGTGGGCTGAGCAGTCTGGCGGGCTGCAGGGCAAAGTGACAGTGGTTGCCAAGAACCTGAACTCGAGCGGCAGCCAACGAGGCTTGACGGCACTTGTTCAATGGACCAGGGTCCTTTTGCCAAAGGATCTCAAACTGAACATCTGGACAAGGCCTCCTTAGCCAGAGCAACTTGCAGTCGCGCAGGGAACGTCCACTGGAAATGCGTAATCGCGGCCAGCCTGTCAGCCGGGCGTGGGAGTCTGCTTTAAGCCGCGTTTGGAGAATGGGGGCTGTTCAGGGCGATGTTTTAAAGGGAGCCACTTGTCACCATTTCGGGCTTGCAAGCCGTTCTGCATGCCGATGATTCCCCTTCTGATTCATTTCTGAGGCGTTTCTTTCTAATCGGTTAGCTCTCCGTGAGCTTAAGCTGTTCGGCCAGGCCATGTGTCCAGAGCTGCGGGCGTGCCAGGCCAGGGGATAGTGGCGGTGCCGATTTCTCCCTAATGTTTGCGAGGCCCCTCCTGCCAGACAAACGAGCGCACAGACGCACACACACATACAGGCACACACTCGCGCAACCACACACACAAAAGCAAAACAACCACACAAACGCAAATTTTTGCAGACTGGCAAAAACCAATTAGACAAGTGGAATAACATATGCAAACACACGGAGAGACACGTGCACACAGACAAAGGCAGACACACACACATATACATATATACACATGCACACGCACACACACACACACACCCGCACGCAACCGGACACGCAAAAGCACCCGCACACGCACACCCCCACGCACCCGCACATGCAAAAGCACACGCGCACACAGACAGGCACACGCGCACAAACACGCCGACATGCCCACAGAGACGCGTCGACACACACACACACACAAGCACTAAATCAACACACAACACACACACAACACACACAACACACACAACACACACAACACACACAACACACACACAACACACACACACACAACACACACACACAACACACACACACACACACACACACACAACACACACAACACACACAACACACACAACACACACACACACACACAACACACACAACACACACAACACACACAACACACACAACACACACAACACACACAACACACACAACACACACAACACACACAACACACACACACACACACACACACACACACACACACAACACACACACACACACACACACACACACAACACACACAACACACACACACACACACACACACACACACACACACACAACACACACAACACACACAACACACACAACACACACAACACACACAACACACACACACACACAACACACACAACACACACAACACACACAACACACACAACACACACAACACACACAACACACACAACACACACAACACACACAACACACACAACACACACAACACACACACACACAACACACACAACACACACAACACACACAACACACACAACACACACACACACACAACACACACACACACACACAACACACACATACACATACACGTACACATACACATACACACACACACACATACACACACAACACACACACACCACACACACACACACCACGCACACACACACAACACGCGCGCACACACACACACAACACACACACATGCAAGCACATACGCGCGCACACATGCGCAACAACACACTTGAATATATGTGCGTATATATTTACATAATTATACAGATATTATATAAGCATACATGTGTATTGTATTATGCACACATCCTTGTAGCATAGCGTGCACGGTCAGTTTGAATGGGGCATATGATTGTTGAGTTTGCGGGTAGCTGCTTCTGCAAGAGCGATCTAATGAAACGTTTCGGGTGCAACGGGCGACATATGTAAATTCTCAAGAACATGGCCGTTTTGGTTCCTGTTTTCATGTGTGTTGCATGCGATTTGCAGGCAACTCGCATTCCTTGCAGATTGACAAGGAGCTTCGTGCGGTTCCGGAAATGGTTGGCGGTTGACTGATCGCCTTAAACAAATATTTTCTCGGGTCCTCCCGAACATGCAGCTATGAACAAAGCGAACAGCAGATGGGAGTCCTCAGCACCCCTCCCCCCCCAAGTCAATGTTGAAGCCCACGGCTTGCCAGGTAAGAACCCAGATTGATCTTTCTTCTGAAGGCCTTCTTGAGCGACCCAACCTTCAACATTGAATTTGCGGGGAGGGGGCCTTGGGACTTTCATCAACTTGAAACACCTTTGTTCCTACCCAATAGGCTTGGGGTTGGCGATGCCTCAAGTGCTGCAACTTTGTGGCCGGCTCCACTCACTGCTTCAGTTAAGTTTAGCCAAGCAAACGTTTTACGTGGGGATTGTTCAAAGTATGGGTGGCTTGAACAAGCCTTCAGCGGCAATTCCTTGGGCCCCTTCTTGGATATTTATTTAGGAAAGCCAGGACATTGCCGCTTGTATCATTGTTTTGTTGTTTTCCTGCGTCCCTTGGGAGGACCAACCCGAAGCTCAGCCTTTTGACTTGGGCCAGCGCGCCTCTCTCACTTGGCCAGGTTCCTACCCTGTAGACTGCTCACTTACGCATCCTGTTTCCCACTTTGAAAGTCAAACTCCATTTTGAAGAAGGCTTCGGCCCCCGTAGAATCAAGTCGGCCGAGCCTCTAATCCCCGGGACCCCGGCTAAAGCTGTAGCTGTGGGAGACCGAGGAGCCCACATTCTGTCAGCCAAAGCAGTTAAGGAATCGGTCACTTCGCTATCACAGACAGGCAAAAAGCAACAACAGACTGCCGTGGATTGGGAATGATCAAAGCCCCCCCGCCCTCTTAAACACATCAAGTCTATCGCATTGCGTGCCCACGGTCTTGTGTCTGGTGTTCACGGCAAATTGCCACGACCATGGGTCTTTTCGGGTTGTCAGGGCAAATCAGAACCACCAGGGTCCTTTTGGTTGTCCTTTTGGGTCGTGCTCTTCTGGCTGTCCTTCTCCGCGAAGGTGCCACGGGCAGCCCTGGACTTCCATGAGTCCTTCCGGAAGCTCAAGAATGGCGCCTGCATGGCACGCCTGGAGGAAATCCTCGGGTGAGGGAGGGAAACCATGCCTTGGTCGTTGGGGGAGGGGGTGGCCCCTGGAATTCCATTCGTGATAGATAGACTGAACCTACCTACCTCCCCCCGATTAGCTTACCATTCTTAGTCGGTTCCTCCTTGGGCGATGGGAATTTCCAGGACCCCTGTTACAAGTAGCCCTCACCGGCTTTCTCTCGGGTGCATGCGACCCTACCCGGCCGTCGCATTTGACCCTACCTCGCTTGAACGCTACAAACGACCCTACCCCTTACAATTCCGCGCAGCGGGCATAATCCGCAGGTCACATTCAACCCCCGTCAGGTTTAGGTTTAGGGATTTTGGGCTGTTTTTATTGTTCCGAAGGGTGTTTTAGGGGCGCCCCAAACCACAAACCCTGCGCTGCGCGGCGCCACGAGAGATTTGCTACCCCGTTGGTAGAGCCCCCGGTTCGGCGTCGAGGAGTCGCACGTGGTGCTGCTCCCCGGGTACTCGGGCGGAGCCCGGAACCTGCCGGCGCGGCGTGGGCGCAGATGCAGCGACGAGGCGAGGCATGGCACATGGCACCCCCCCCCCCCACCGGTGGGTGTTGCTTGGGATGTCCCTTGGAAGCAACCTCAAAAATGGCGCCCTCAATGAATGTTTGGGGCTGCTTTCGTTTTTTGCCGGAGGTACTTTCAGTTTGCACGGTGTTGTTGTTGGGTTTTGGCGCTCTCACAACCAACCATTGGTTTCGCTGCATGGCTTCCGTTTCTGAGCACACATACATAGTGTGACTCACACTGATCCTGAACCTTGAGGCACCCCAGCGAAAAACCCTTCAGCCTGGCTGTGCCTGAGATCCTTTTAGGAGGACACATATCTTCCAGGAAACCGCCGGGCGATGGCCCAACCCACAAGCCACAGCACCCTCGAATTTGGGGTATCAAGTGGGTCAGAAAAATGTCTTAGTGGAAAGATATTGGCAATTTAGCCCAGGAATAGTGGCTACAAGTGCCAGTAGTTCGTCCGCGCTCATAGCCCGTTAAGGGCTATATATAGAGGACATTGACCTTCTCATGGCTAGCCCAGTGGCTCCCAATGTGTGCTTGATCAACTCAGTTTCCCTACCTAGTGTTAGCACTGACTTGGGGGGCATCACGCGTCAAACTCTGTCTACCCTCCCATCCACTACGACAAAGATGGAGCCTGACCGCTTGTGGAGGGCATGGCTGGTCGGGGACATGTTAGAGTTGCTCCTGGGGACTTTGTTTCGCAAAGCTGCGGGGGATGAAAGTGGACTCAGCCAGCGGCTCTTGAGTTCCACGCATGCTCCGAGCGCTGGCCAGGAGATCCTGGGAGCCTACAATCGCCTGCTGTCTCATGCCAGGCGGGGATGAGAGGGTAGTTCCATGAACAATGCCATTGGACCCCCCGCCTCCCCGCCCCTTATTAACCAACCAAAGGTTTACAAATCCTGGGTTTTGATTTGGTAAACAAGGTCATGAATCCGAACGATGTGTGTGTGTGTGGCTGATGAGGACTGCCTGGATACGGACAGCAGTTTCTTGCACGTGGTTAACGGGTAGGACTCAAGCAAAAGGCAATGCATGGCATAAAGGTAGGGACCTGTCTACACACATATATATATATATGTATATATACTATGTTGCGATTATTTCATGTTGATTCCTTTTGAACAGCGACCCAGCACGTCCTCAGTCCGCCTTGCGCATGCTTCCTTTCGATTTCCTTTGCACAGACCCCTCCAAAAGCGAGTCCTTTTTCCATTTTTCCCCAACAGCTGAAAGGTTTGGGGTCTCAGCCCAGATAGGCTCCGGGGTGGTCCGGGGCGGCCTTGAGGTAAGGTTCCACGAGGGTTCCACCAGGGTTCCACGAGGTTTCTACGAGGTTCTGCGAGCTGCGGTGGTGCGAGCACCAAAAAGAGCACCGCAGGCTGTTGGGGATATCACCTGAGTTTATTGCCCTTTTGGGTTCTTTGTTGTCTCTGCGGCTGCACACTTTTGGATGGCTGTCACGACCAGCAGGTCCAAAAGTGTCCCACTCGCAGAGATTCGGCTGAGATAGCTGTCGATGGTCCATTTGGTATGTGTCAAAATTGGGGTACCCGAAAAGAAAGAAAAACAAGTTTTCCTTTTGCCCGATGCCCTCCAGAACGCACTGATGCGGGGTTCGCGGGAAGGGGAGGCGGGGGGTCGCGGGTCGCGCACCAGGCTCGACGGCAAGCTTCTGCTCCTGGCGTCTGGCTTCGGCGGCTTCGCTGAAGTGGGCGCCGAGGGCGTGGAGCCGTTCGCGTGGCTGCGGGTGCACCCCTCCCAGGAGAACCTGGGCGCTGAAAAGCCACAGCCAAGGCAGTTTTTTCCTTCTTTTTTCAAGAGGTCATCGAAAAGCGACGGGTAAGTAGTTGGTTGTTCCCAGACCTGCGATACACCCAGGAACTTCCGCAACGGCCACGACTTGTCGGTGCCGCCGGCGCCCACCGAACTTTGCTCCAGCGTCCAGGCGCGGTGGGGTGTCAACTTCCCCGAAGTCACAAGTCAAAAGGTCGAAGGCCTGGAAGGGGATGCTCCCTTTCACTTCCTCAAGGGGTCGATCAGTCAACCAGCTAAGCGGTAAACCTGCTCGTCCCTTGTCAGAAGGAGCCCTTTTGAAAGCAAGCTCTTGTTAGGCCAGCCAGTCCTTTCTGGAGCCATTGGCGGGGAAGCGCTTCCTGGTTAGCTTCAAGGGCCGGCTGGATGGCCCTCTGCTGGACGGCCCTTTGTCGGCGCTCCACGACGGCTTGGAGGCAGTGGTGGTGGATGAGGCAGATGCCAGGTACAGTTCCGAGTACCTCCTCTTCAACTCGGCCTTCAGCCTCGTTGTTCCGGGCGAGGCCAGAGAAGCCATGAAGCGTCTACAGGCATGGAAAGAGATATGGGGGCAAGGGGGGGGAAGGTCCTAGTGTCCAGTTGGTGAACTAGGGAGTCCAATAAGTCTAAATTCAGCCAACACACACGCACTGTCTGACCGTTGAGCTGATGCAGGTGAAACAAGCAAACGCATGATGAAGTGCCTCCTCCTATTTGCAGTTGGTGACTTATGCCTTCTTTCCAACAATCATGGAAGATGGGGGGCCGAAAGAAAACACCAACAAATTCAAGAACCATATTTTTCAAGATGACCCTTTTGTGGGACCCGTTGGTTCCACTCGGACCAGCCTCCCTTGCCCCTGCTGGTAGGGCTCGCGCTTCAACGAGGCGGTCTGTTCCGGAGGCGTGCCTGCAGCCGTGGCCAACAGCTCGTGGGCGCCTTGGAAAAGGCGTGCGAGGCGTTGGGATGGTGGGATGGGTCCAATGGAAGTGGTTCCAACATGATCTGAAATGCTGGATGAGCGAGCTATGCAGGTGCCCTCCCTTCCTCGGAGGTCCCTTTTTTCAGATTTGTGCCTATAGCAATTTGCCCGGGTGCTCTCGAGTTAGAAGGATGGGAGTTCTGGATGTGGCAGGCGCGGGGCAGTGTTTCGCACACACGCATCCCCTCAAAGGCAGGAATGAATGCTGCGATTGGGACAACCTGATTTCTCAGTTGGGAGGGCAGGCTTTAACTTGTTTGGATGTTTGCCCATGTGCCACTGAGAATCCAGGCGCCATCGGATTTTCGTCCGGAAAGCCCTTCCACGGGGAATCCCCATAGATCATTTCCCTACTTCAACCTCTTGGCGTCGAACCCGATTCCGCTGAGGTACCACCTTTGGAGGGCTTCTTCCTTTTCGAATCCTACGGCTTGCGGCTGACAGAGGCCGCGCTAAAGATGCCGATTTACATGTTAGGGGGGAGGACGACATGGCTGTTCTTTCTGGAGGTTTGGTCGCACGCAGGCAGAGGCATTTGGGGTGGTGCCCTTCCTGCGCTCCGTGCTGGCCGATGTGGCGCAGGCGATTCCGCAAACTACTGGCACCGATCAATCAAACTAAAGAACAGCTCCTCTGCATCAGACCCTTCAGGGAACCCTGGGCAAAAAAATCCTCACTGCCCCCAGTTGTTTGAAGGTTGCAAGTTTGTTTGCAGCCCCCATAAATCAAAGGGCAATCCTAAAAAGAATATGGGGAGGTTCCCCATTCATTGCGTTGTTTACACGCTTCTGTGGGAACATCCCAATCCCCCACTTCGGACAGGTGCAGCTTCTGCGCGAGCCGCTTGGGCGTCCCACAATGGGAATCACCATTCCAGCATCCTCCAACGGCTGCTTTTCCCATATGCGAAACCCCAAGTCTGCTGTTGTTGGGGGTTGGTGGTTTGGGGCAGCTTGGTTTTTTCATTCAAGGGCCAAAAGGAGCAAGGCAACCAGCCATTTTAGGGGTCGCTGATCTTGGGAAACACTCCCGCGACATCCAAAGACTATGCGAGGCAGCAGTTGAAGAATTGAAACGAAGGGATGAGACGAAGGCTGTGACTTCACCGAGTGCCAAGGAACGCGCGGCGGGTCTGCAGCAGTGCGCTGCAGACGCGGGAGATTCAGGCGGCAGCGGTGCTGGCGGCGTTCCACCAGCCCAACCGAGGCCGGTATGGAGCGCCATTTTTTTGGGGGCGGCTCTCCTCAAGGGAACTTGAAGCCCCACCTTTGAAACACGAGCCACCGGTAGCCCCCGTTTTGGGGTCGCCATGCTAGGGATCAACACCCTCGAAGTACCTCTGAGGATTTTCCATTGTCGCCCCTGCAGTCCAAACCAGACATCCAGAAACTTGGCCAATGGGGTGGTGTTGTGCTGAAGATTTTCTTCCAATGTGAAAAGCAGGGCGCCCCTCGGACAGTTGGAGGGGATGATGGGGCGAGGCTACGAAGAAAGAGTTGGCCAGCTACTGTTGCAGACCATCTACGATGAGGAGCGGCGTGGGAGCAAGGCGAGGAAAGAGAACATCGCTGCAGCCGTTTGGCACTTCGAAAGCCTAAGAGCCGTACAGTCTCTTCTGAGCGTTGGTTTGGCGAAGCAAAGATTGCAAGTCTTGCGTGTGCAGCCCTCTGTTGTTGTGCATGGCTTGATGCCAGTGTTGCCACGTGGCCATCAACCACTCGTGGGGAGTCCCTATTTTCCAGCAAGCCAATTTCCCGGCCCGGGAGTTTTGGCGTTGAAAAGCTCTGCGATCCTGTTGGTGCACGCCCAATGCAGCGGATGCATCGCAAAAGTTCAAAGCGGCGCTGGCCCGGCATTTGTAGCAAGCGCGGAATTTGTTTTGCACAACCACTGTGGACTCAGCTTAGGAATTCTGTGACTTGAACGCGGGTTGTGTGTACCGTGACAGGCATTTCTGCGGTGCGCGCGCGACCCTCTGCGGAGATTTGCTTGGTCGAGGTTGAAAAATTGAGGACTTTTTACAATTTCTGCGGTGCGCGCGCGACCCTCTGCGGAGATTCGCGTGGTCGAAGTTCAAAAACTGAGGACTTCTTACGATTTCTGCGGTGCGCGCGCGACCCTGGCAGGGCACAACAAGGCATCCACAAGTTGTTGGGCACTACGCAGGCAGCGCCATTCCAAAGCAACAGCTGAACAGCAGCTCTGTTGGTCTGCCACTGCCATTTCCTGCGCCCGCCTCCCGCCTTGTTCCCTCATTTCCTCACCGACGTATTGTGCGGCTCGCCTTGAAACATGTAGGACTCCAATGTGTTCTACGCACTCTTTCAAGATCAGATCCTCTACAAGGCGGTGGCCGGTCGGGCCAACACCTTTCAGTCGGTGTGGATCTCCGTGGGGGCAGGGCCCTTTGCACCTCACCTGATTTAGGGTGGGCTGTCCTGCAGGTGCTTCTCTGTTCGCAGCACCGCTTCCGATCAAAAGCACGGCCTGTTATTTGTTTGGTACGGCTTTTTGGCTTTTGGCCTCTTGATGTTTGGCTTTTTGCTCAAACTTGGCTTTTGCGGCCGTTGGATTCCGCTTTCCCCAGACCTGCCTGCCTCAATCCCAAATCACGCAGACCCTAAACCATCCCATTAACTAGCTATATGACCTGTTGGCTTGGGGTCTCCAGGTGAAACTGTTTGGGTGGGCGTTGGGTTTGTTCGGAGTTGGGCTTTGCATTGGGCTTTCGGGAGGATGTTGGGTTGGTTACAGGTGAGTCTAGGGCAGGGTTGACGCAAACCGGGGCTGGTGGTTACGGTGGGTTTATGGCCACCGGCCATGACACAAGAAACCTAGCATGATGCAGCATGTTGGCCCTCCTGGATATTTGTGTTTCATCCCTTAGGTTGCAGAAAGGGCGCCCAAAGAAGGGAGGCAAATTTGGGTATGCGTTGTTGGGGAGTGTTTGTTGGGATGGAACATTTGGAGCCACCGAAAGCCTGCTGCCAATCCCACCTGCGGGCGCAATGCCCTTCACGCAGGGATAAAATGCAATGTCCATGTCAAGAGGTCAAGGCCGTGGTACGTGCGAAAGGATGGCTCTGCCGTGGCTTTTCCCTGCTGTCATTTACTATTTCGGCAGCTTATTGTGCGTGGCCTCGTCCCGCAAGGGCAAATTTCACATCAGGGTGTGATTGTTTTTTCGCTTCAATCTCAACACTTGTACGAGCTGTGAGATATTTTTGCTGGAGGGGCATTGGCAGACCGCATTCCCTGATTCGGTCATGCAGTGCGACATTAGCACGCGCATGTTCGCGTGGACGAGCTGTTTGCTTATTCAGCTTCTGGGAAGTTGCAGTTGTTAGTGCACAACCCAACTGAACAGTCACTTGGGCCCAGCACCACCACACCCCATCAGCACCAGAAAAGCTACCCGGGTCGTGCAACTAACATTTGGCAAAGACAGCGGTCAGAGCTGTCCACCTTGATACGCCTCCGTTTTTGGATGTGTGGAGCTCAATGACTCCTTTGTTAAGGTGCTGTTTGGTGGTCCAACAAGCGGGTTTTTTTCAGAACCAGGACGCGTTGGCTCGGTTTCGACGCGCGGCTGTGCCAAGGATTACGTGGCCAGCAGCCAGGAGGCGGTATTTGCCATTGGCCCCGGCCAGAAGGTTTACAAGTTTGCAGGCGGGCCGGGAGACACGCAAGTGTGTCGAGCGGATTCCTCAGCTGCCCTGTTCTTGCAGTTTAACTCATTTCAGAAGGCCACTTTAGGACTCCTTTTCCGGGGGCCTCCCTCGTTTTGCTGGTTGCAGCATTGTCAATGGTTGGTAAATTGCCAATAGGAATCAACCTTCCTTTACTCCCTCACCGGCCTCGTTTCATTTTGGGGCTTCGTGGCCTTGTCATGGGGCAGGGGATTGATCGGGCGCCTTTCTCGCGCAGCATATGCTTTCAAGAAGGGCTTGAGTCGCGGCAAGAAACGCGCTCGTCCCATGGCGACATTAGCTGATCAGCGTACAGGCAGTGCCCCTGTCAGCTGGGCATACTTCTGCACCAAGAGCATAACCGGATTTATGTACTTCGGCTTGCTGGAGGCGGTGGGTGCTAGCACGCCGTTGGCGCGGTGGTGTGCCTTTCAGCTGCTCACGCCGCTGGTGAAGTGCTATCACCTGCGCACTGCGGGTCTTTACACGCACAATATGTTTGTCTTCTCCATGGTTCACGACTTGATTCTGTCCACACTCTTCTTCGGATTTGTGGCTGGCCTGCGCGGCCTGCGGTTCATGCTGGCGATGCCCGTTGTGTTCCCGCTGCTGAGCCTGCTTGAGTGGATCGGCTTCAAGCTGCTTCTGCCCGAGGCGAAGTATGTCGTCAAGCCTATCGATTGGGTTGGCCAGGTTGCGACCTTCGCAGTGGGAGGGGCGATGTCTCTGACACTCGGCCTCACCGCTGACCAAGGGACTCGACCGCTTCATCACGACTTTGTGGCCTTTATTTGCGTGCTGCTATGGACGGACCTGCAGTTTGGGGTGACGCATTGCATGTGCCATCGAGTTTTGTGGCTGTGGAAGCGTCACAAGATTCACCATGAATATGGGAAGGGCGAGCTGAACTCAATGGCCAATGTGCATGGAGATGCGCTGGACGAAGTGCTGATGAATGGCGTGCTGGTGCTCCCGATCCTCGCGTGCGGGTGGTTTAGGCTCTACCCTTCGACCCTTCCGTTCCTGGAGTGGTTCTATCTCATTCCTTTCTCGCATCTCCGCTTTCAGCCTTCCGTTGTAAACTTGATGGCCTTCTTTGAGTTTGATCTCCTGGACATGCTCCTCTGCCAGCCGCGCATGGGCGCTTTCCACACCATACACCATGAAGTGGTCGCAATCAATTTCTCCGTTTTCGGGATTGTTCCTGACTCGGTGTGTAGAGCCATTGCCGGGAAGTTTTCGACTCTGGGGAGCACAACTTTGCAGAGCTGAGCTGGCCGAAGCCATCGCCTCCGCGCAGTAAAACTGAGCCTCCTCCTCCCCAACGCCCTTGTGCCACACCAGCACTCCACTCTTGAGCAATCAGTGTCGTCCTTGTTGGACTACCTTATTGGACAAGTGTAATTTCAAGTGAAAGCAATTACACTATTCCCATCAGGCATGCCAAACTGGTCCATAAGATCCAAAACGAAAGGAGCACATGGACCACCCTAACGCAACATAGGTCCAGGTGGTATTAGCACTTAACATGTCCCACCCGCGTTTTGGAGGGTGTCCTTTTTCAGGTTCCTCAAGCGCATGGGGAGTGAAGCCCCTCTCCGCGAGGGCCTCTGAGCCGCGTTGACCCGGACAGCGCCTGGGTGGAGAGCAGCCGCGGGGAGGTGACCTCCATTGCCCTGGCGGGGGAGGCGCGGGCGCGCCGCGCGCGCCGGGGAGTGGGTTCCACCCGTCACAGGCACAGTTTCCTTTCTGTCAAACCAGCCAGGCAAGCAAGCAAACACGCAAGCAGGAAGCAACCAAAACACCAAACAAGCAAGCCAACAATCCAACAAGCCTACAAGCCAACACGCCAAACCAACCCAACCAACAAACAAGCAAGCAAAGAAGCATACAAGCATACAAGCATTCAAAGAAACAAGCCGCCGGGGTGTGCAGCATGACCAGTGCAATCAAAGCAAAACTACACAAGCGCGACCCAGAATGCTTACCTAGAATGGCTTGAAGCACACGAGCAAACAAACAACTGAACAAACATGTGCGAAGTTTTCTTAGAATGGCTTAAGCACACATGTTTGAACAAGGTGTGGGCTTCAACGTTAACGCCACATGTTCCGCCATCGGTGTGGGGTGTTGAGCGGCCTCGCTGGGCCTGCTTGGTGCGTCCATTTGGGGCATCGAGAGCCGGGAAGCCTTGTTGGTGAGTTAGTCGCTTTGTGATCCCTGTTGCCACGGAAGTGGCTTGAAACCCCCATTTTGGCAGGAACATATTACATATTGTTCTCCAGGAGCCTTCAGTCAGGTTTCATGTTGTTGGGGAGGGGGTGGCAAAATCTTGGGTGAAATAGAACTTGGTATCTTCCAGGTGGTCTTGGCCGCGGGCATGGACGGGCACATCTACCGGCAGCTGTTGAGGGAGATGAGTCCGGAGAGCGACTGGCAACTCTTGGTGGAAGGCCCGAGCATGCGCAATCGCACGCAACACTAGTTTGGGAACCGTCCCTCGTTGTGGTGAGAGATGCCATCAGTGCCTACTAGAGTCATAGGCCAACTTTCTAGTAGTGTTCTTCATGGCCCATACGCCTCAGCTTGCCAAACCGGAGGTGATTTTGCCATTGTTTTTGTGTGTGCCTTGAGCTGCGGGCACCGACGGGAATTGAGGGTCCCCAAAAAAGCCCGGCCCTGAGAGTCCTTAGAGGAGTTTCTTGGGTAAGAGTCCTGGCATACCATCGAGGAGTTTTGGAAAGAGGGCGTGTCACTTAATTTTCTTGCCCAGCTATTTCTTGGGTAGCCCTCATTTCCGATTGGTGGAATTTGTCAGCGCCACCCCGATATAGGAAGAGGACGTTTGTGCCAACCCTGCTTGGCGTTAACAACAACTGGCGCCAGTTTATGTTTGGTTCTAATCAATGGGCAGTGCAATCTACTTCAGGGCCAAGCTTCCAAGATATGACCATCATAGAGTAGAGAAAATTGGTTTGGTTTCCAGGCGTTGTTCCTTGAGCAACGTGTACTTTGTAAAAGATAACCTGCTCTGGATGGACAAGATCCTGCACCAATGGGATGGTCGAACCAAAGACAAACCACCTACCGACTAAGTGCAGAATTGTCCATCCACAGGCCCCTGGCCCACTGGCAGGCTACCACTTCGACCGCATCGCGCTGCAGCAGGGGGTGATCTTCGCTTCTGGGAGTGGGGGCCGCATCTACTCCCTGGACGGGCACATTTGGATTATGGGCTGTTGGGGGCTGGAGGGTAACCTACATGAGAGGTTGACAAAATTGTGGATCTTTTGAGGACCCAGACCCCAAGAAGGGTCCCATCTTTGGCAACCTAGCATGAGTGATTTGCAGTAAGGATGTTTGAATAGCAGCTTCAAGATGTTTTGGCCACTGTTTAGGCCCGGGCTTGCTTTGTGCTGGTCTTCTCGCTGGTAAGCATCTAAGAATGTCACAAGTCCGTCGGCGTTGGGCGGATCCCTGTTCGAGTTGGTTGGGGGGTGTGAATAGCAGATGCGCTTGGGAACTTTGAAGCTCACTGACTATGCTAATCTGGAGGGTCACCTCTAAAACAGATGTTTGTAGATGTCTCGAATCAGTCCTTGCCCTCAAAAAAGCAGGGCTTGCCCGCCCTTGCGGGCTTGCTGGCGAGGATCCAGCACGCCTCCCCGGCGCGCACTGGAGCCTCACTGCGCGGCGACATCTTCCTGGAGATCTGCGGCACTTGTTCTAAGCCCCGCAGGGCCGAAGGCGCAAGGAACCCGGCGCAGCCAGAGGATGGACATGAGGAGCAGAGGGGCGCGACGTCGCAGGTGTCGCTCAGGCCTCGTAAGAAGACCTCGGGGCGTCCCAGAGTCTCCCAGAGGAGCGGCGCCCGACGTGGGTTTCGGCAGTGTGCCGAATAGCTGGAAACCACCCGGTGGAGCTTTCCCATGCGCAGCGCGCGCAGGCGTTGCTTAAGCATGCCCAGCTGGATTCAGAATGTCAGACAATGTTTGGCGCAGACTGGGCCATCAGCCGGCTGTTCAGAAAAGGCGCTTATCAGGAAACGGACTGCGCCGCCTTGACCCTTCCCCGCATCCCAAGCACCCCAAACGCCGGGAACTCGTTTCTGGGAAAGGCATAGCCCAAATTTAAAGGGATGTAAATTGCGTACGGGCGGCCTTGCTTCTTTTCCCAAGGCCCCAACCTTTCGATCGCCCACGTCGGCTCAAGCGTGTGCAAACTCTGGGCCCATCGGCACGGTGAGGGGGCCAAGGCTTCAACGCCGTTGGGCTGCTTTGTCGGGCTTTGGGACGTGCCTATACTCCCCTGGCAGCCCCGCGGTTCCCCAAAACAATCCGTTTTCTGAGAACCCGATTGCACTTGGGGCTGCTTTGGGTATGATGTTGATTTGTATGACCCTGGTGTTCTTTTGCAGCTGGGTTCGGACGAGGCTTTTCGCACGTAGCTTCCTTGGCTGGCATGTTGCAGGCCCTTGAGTGCACCAGCTGGACTTTGTGTTGCAAATGGGCAGCTTTTGTGCTTTGTGGGCACTTTACAAATTGGCTGACTTGGTTGGAGTGATTCTCCAACTTTCTTGCATGCTGGAGTTGGGTTCCTTTTTCCTGCGGTGGGGAAGGCCCGCAAAATTCTCCCTTAACATGAGGCGGAACACTACTGCGCCAAGGTGTTGCAGCGCGACGCCTGGCATTGATGTGGGAGGCACGCCGCAGTGTCAGGGCATCGGGAGGCTGGCTGGTTCACTTGCAAAATGCAGATTCCCTTGGGGAAACGCGTCATTGATGCGAAGAAAGGCAAATGCTGCGACATTGCAGATGTTGGGTTCCGTGTCGCGTTTCTTGTGCGCCTTTTCCTTGCTGGTTGAAGGTCCATGCGGTCGTGACGGCCTGGGAATGTCTATGGCCTCCAGATAGCTTACATTTTCGGGATTTGGAGCTTGGGCTTAAGCTGCGTGGCCCTGGCGGGTCCCAACGTCCGCGAGCTCTGGATCCCCCGCTTTTGCAAGACGACTGTCACTTGTCCCCAAGCCCTTGTTAGCGGACGCGAATCCGCGGGTGTACACCAAAGGGCCCACAATTGAAATTCATGCCAAATTGCCTCCAGTCCTTTCCCGTGAGCCGTCCTCTCGCACACTCGGCATCAGGTGGTGGGAGGCGTTGACAAGGGCGGCATCATTGTGCGGGAGGACCTCGACTTGGCCTCTGCGGCGGTGGGGCGTTTGTCCTGCGGAGCCAAGGTGAAGGAGAGAAGTGGCGGGCCCTTTGGGCCCTGATGTTTTTGTTCATTGCCTTTTTGTCGCGAGATCTGTTCAAGGCGGTTTTGGGGAAGTTGTTGCGGTTGGAATCATCAATGCGAACAGTTCGGCGCGAATCCTCCTGTGTGGCTGTGAAGGCTTTCCGCAGTTTGCAGGCTCCATGAGCACGAGGTGCAGGTTTGCGATGTCAGGTTAGGCCCCCGCTGTTGAGATTTGGCCGGTTGCAAACCAAAGTGCTGAGTTTTGGCCGGTGCTGAAGGCTCTCTGCATTGTCCTTCTTAGATCCGTTTTGCTGGAAGTAATTGGGTTCCACTGGTTGCAGTTTGGTTCTACCCATTTACCTCTACCACTTATCCATGTGCCATTTGGAGGGCCTCTCCTATTCTGACAGCCACTTCTGCTGCTTTTCTTGGGTGTGTTTTCCCTGGTCAGCCCTGGTCAGGAGCTGGCCTGCCAAGAGGGGCGGCTGCACTATGAGCTGGTGTCCGGGGAGGGCCCGAAGACAGGGTGGGTGACCACCAGCCTCAAGGGCAAGGAGCCCCGAGCCGACTTGCCGAGCACCAAGCAAGGGGAGACGTGCCACGACCCCCACATATCATCCCAGTAAAAGTGTCGCAAAGGACTTGTTGGTCAACACTCACGTCTGCGGGAAAACGGGACTTCATGCCCACATTGACAGAAAAACGGTTCTGTTGGGTGGGGTGCTGTTTCAGGGGGACATGCAAGGGTCCGATCTTCGGCCTGCACATTAATACGGAGCCCAAACAGCAGTTCCCTAAAACGAGGTTCCTCCAAAGACGATGGTTTTTAGGTCCCATGCTAGTCTGTAGGAGTATTCTGTTCCCACCATCGGAAACTGCAGTGGCATAGGTGTCTTCCATTGGTCAAGTGCGCGATGCCCTGTGAGCCTGTGAGGAGCTGGTGGTTCAAGCGGCAGAGGCTTGGGGCGGGGGGGTCTGGAATTTGGGGCTGGGACGTACGTCATCAATGAAACCTGCAAAAGGGGCTCCTGCCCTGATGGAAACCCAACCAGGCATTAACCCAGATAAATCTTCGCTGCCGTGACTACAAACACATCTCGCAGTGAAGTGCTGCCACTTGCTTTGAACCTAGCCTAGCCATAAGCACCCAACATGAACAATATCCGGATGTCCGCCCTTCTTTTTGCGTGGAGGGGCCCAGCCATCCACGGGATGCCCAAGCCCGCAACTTCCGCGAATTGCTCTTGGGCCGCCCTTGGCCATAGGGTTCTTCGGGTAGGAGCTGGGCTCCACCAGTGAGGGGGAGACCTCTCAGCACCAGACCTCGGAGGCGGAGAGCTGGGAGGCCGGTGGGGTGCTGGGGGGCGGGGTGTTTCTGGTTGTGTCGCAGAGGTCATCGAGGCTCTCGAGCGCAGCTTGGATTCCAGTCTGTTTGGTATTCTTTTCGCATCCTCAGAGTTATGTTGGGGCCAGACAGGTGCATCCGAGCCGAGACGAGACCCTTTGCCTTGAAAAGGGAGACCGAAGGGTGGTTTGAACAGTGGCGGCTTGCCGCCTTTCCTGGGCTGATCCGCCAGGCCGAGAAGGAGGGGCCCTCGAAGGAGGAGAGGGAGGCTTTGCACCGATACCTCGGCAAGTTCGGCAAGGCGGAGAACCGGACAGGCGCCTGAGCCGAGCTTTGTTTGGGGATCATGATTGTATTCAGCTCCTTGTGGGTTTATTCAAGTTTCACAAGTTGACAGGGTCGCTAGAAATCACTTTCAAGTGTTGATATTGACTGACAACTTTTTCTCAGGCCACTGATGCTTAAGAGGTAATATTCCAGGCCGGGCGTGTGAGTCCGAGTCGCCATTCCGTTTAGACCGTCGAAAACCAGCCGTGTATTCTGGGCCCCTTGGCCCTGGAGCTTCTCGTGCCCGGAACAAAGGATCGGAAAGAAGGGGAGCTCACCGCTAGATATACAATGAGTGTGCGTTTCTGACGTCATTCTCATTTTGAGAGCGAAGGCGCCCCCGGGCCAACGGAAACCCGCCACACCCGAAAAACAAATCGGCATCCCTTAGCCATGGGCTTCGGGGAACATCCTCTGAGGTGCCTCCCCCGGGTACAACCGCCAGTCCTTCTGGACCAAGAAGGCGACACCAAAGGAGACCATCGCGGCGGCTTTGGCCGACCCTTGCAGGCGAGGGTCGGTCAAAATTTGACTTCTCTTTCTGCACTGGTGCTTTTGCTGCTTGATCTAAACGGAGCCTTTTTGGATTTGGTACGCTTTGGAATCCTTAAGGCCGGGGCAGGTGGTGTGAGGTATCATTGCTTGAGAAGCGTGCCTGCATCCGGTCTGCCATTTTGATCAAGCCAAAATAACCGGTTAGGTTACAGGACTGCCAGTCCGGCTTTGGCTTCAAAGAGCTCATGGCACAGGTGGACGCTGCGAAGGTGGAGACCTGGTGCGAGGCGGCGGGTGTGTAGTTGCCTGCGGACCTGGCGTTTTTCTTCACTTCGTGCGCGGAGGCGCTGGAGGATGCAGGGAGGGCAGTTGCGGAGGCCTGGAAATCCGCCAGGGCCTCCGTTGGAGTCGGCCTTCGGAGCTCTGCCCGTGCTTTGTTCTGGGCGGAGGAGGTCGGTCAGAGCTCGGCCGATGGCCCCAGTCTCTCCTGGCATGAACTTCTTCCATCAACTTCTTCATCAGATGGTCGGCCTCATGCTGGAGTATCCCGGGCCAACTAGCCGCTGTGGCTCCTGGCGTGAACTTCCTCCACCAGATGGTGGGCGGTGATTCGGCAGAATCCCGAGCCTACGGCAGATCGTGGAGGGCATCTGCAACCGATCCGAGGGGGCCACGGTCACCGCGTTGGCCACATGGAAGGACTTGAGGGCCTGGGCAGCTACCCGCAGCCTGCGCGTGCCGAGTTGGATCGGCGTCAGCTTGCGGATGGTTACCATGGCTGGCCAGGAACGCCCATGGTCCACTACCTCGGTGCGGCTCCTTTGGAGCAGGAGCTCGGGAGCCGGCCCACTTCCTCGCAGCTTCCGATGCGGCTCAGGACAAGCCCCGTCAGGGCTCGGCCGGTGCGCGTTTGGTGTGCCTCAACGGTAGGCCGGCCACATCAAGGTGGAGGACCCCCTTTTCGATTTGTGGGAGTCATTGCCGAGTTTGGAGCCTCTGGCCGTCTTGGTGACCCTCATCCATTTCGCCTCCATCTTGAGAGGTTGCTATGGCATCTGGCATGTGGATAACATCGCGGCCTTGATGGCGCTCATCCGTGGGCGGAGCAACCATGAGGGCCTGGATCTCATGACATGGCAGGACAAGCCCACTGTCTCCTCTTCGGTATCCAGCCAGCCGTGTGCTTTGAGTGGGTCGCCTCCAAGGACAACTGGAGCGACGGCATTTCCAGGGATGGCCTTCGCGCCTGTTGGCATCAACAGCATCAATTCGAGGCTGAAATCACGATCCTGCATTACTTCCTTCTAAGCTCCCGGCTTTCCTCTTCATGCGGATTTTCCAGTTCTTCTAAGTGCATTGGGGTGTGTAGTGTGTTGGAGCCAGGCAGGCTGCCCTTTGGAAAAGGGCGCAACCGTGGGCATATCAGCTTAAAAAGGAGAGCAGCAGTGCTTCGGTCAAGCATTGGAATCCTTAAGGCTGGGGCAGGTGGTGTGAGGTATCATTGCTTGAGAAGCGTGCCTGCGTCCGGTTTGCCATTGTGGGCAAGCCAAATCTGCCAGTCCGGCTTTGGCAAAGCCCCCTGATTTTTAATTTTTTCACCCTTCCACCCTGAGTCCCGTGGAGTGTCCTACGGTGCGGAGAGCCCTGGCTGGGAGGCCAGCGGGCCCGTACCGAATGTCACTAAAGCTGGGCTTTAGCCGACCAGGTACGGCTGCCCTTTGGAAAAGGGCGTCCATGTTGCAGACATCCGGGAGCAACCCGGTTTTAACCAATGCTCTCTCTCTGTGAATCTTGTCAAAGCCCATTTAATAGGCCGGGAGTCCGTGAATGCGGAGGTGCGACCGTGGGCATATCAGCTAAAAAAGGAGAGCAGCAGTGCTTCGGTCAAGCATTGGAATCCTTAAGGCTTGGGCAGGTGGTGTGAGGTATCATTGCTTGAGAAACTTGCCTGCGTCCGGTTTGCCATTTTGAGCAAGCCAAATCTGCCAGTCCGGCTTTGGCAAAGCCCCCTGATTTTTAATTTTTCTTTCCTTTTACCCTGAGTCCCGTGGAGTGTCCTACGGTGCGGAGGGCCCTGGCTGGGAGGCCAGCGGGCCCGTACCGAATGTCACTAAAAGCTGGGCTTTAGCCGACCAGGTACGGCTGCCCTTTGGAAAAGGGCGTCCATGTTGCAGACATCCGGGAGCAACCCGGTTTTAACCAATGCTCTCTCTCTTTGAATCATGTCAAAGCCCATTTAATAAATAGGCCGGGAGTCCGTGAATGCGGAGGTGCGACCGTGGGCATATCAGCTTAAAAAGGAGAGCAGCAGTGCTTCGGTCAATCAGTCTCGGGCTCGGGACATGAGGGGGACTCCGTTGCTTGCTCCAAATCCGTGGCCCTTCAGACAACTTGTTTGGGCATTAAAGGGAGCGGGTTGGCCAGAGGTTCTATTGATTGGTTCAGTTCTGGGACACAGGTGCGTGCTTTCAGTGACCCAAAACGTGCATACAACCACCACATGATCATTGAATCATATGCAAGAACAATGCCAGGTATTTGAAGCGGCTGTGGCGGCGCGATGTGGCGCATGACAGATTTGTTCCATTTTGTTGAAACAACCATGCCCTCACCGCCTTACGGAAACCAACCCAACCAGGTGTTGAAACATGCTTAAGCAGAGGGTTGGCCCCACCCTGGTGTGATGTCACTCCTTGCTTGAAGGGTCAGTGGAGAGGCTGTGGCAGGTGATAAGCTTTGTGAGCCCTTGCCTTGTGGTCATTTGCGAGAATCTGAGCCTCAGAGATTGCAGGCGTTGCGTGATTGAGATTTGGGTGCGTCACAACAGTTCCACGGCTTGACACCGGATACCACCGCCTCCTGTTTCAACCCACTTAGGTCAGAACCACCCTCACTGGGACAACCCCTGTTGCTTACTCTATTGCCATACTTCTTCGCCCACAAAGTGGGTGGAATCGCAGAACCCCCGCTTTTTTTGCCCTTCCGCAACGGCAAGCAGCTCCTTGGCAGGCCTTCGCCTGCGAAGGAGGTCGACTCGGACGGGGGCAAGGTGCCCGTGTGCTCGCGCTGCTTCTTGCCGGTGGGGGAGTTCGCCTACGAGGGCAGAGGATGGTGCTGGGGAAGTACGTGTGTGTGTGTGTGTGTGTTCGTATTGTGTGATTGTCTGAGTGTGCGAGTGTGCGAGTGTGTGTGATTGTTTGTGGCTGTGTCTGTGTCAGTGTCTTTGTCGGTGTCGGTGTCGGTGTCTGTGTCTGTGTGTGCTTGTTTGTTTGTTTGTTTGTTTGTTTGTTTGTTTGTTTGTTTGTTTGTTTGTTTGTTTGTTTGTTTGTGTGTTTGTGTGTTTGTGTGTTTGTGTGTTTGTGTGTTTGTTTGTTTGTTTGTTTGTTTGTTTGTTTGTTTGTTTGTGTTAAAACCCTCTAGGCCCCGTGCCGAAATTGGGTAGCTGTTCTGAGGTCCTTGTTGGTGTTGCTTCCCAAGTTCCATTGATCGCCATTTGGCTCAAGACACAATTGAGGTTCAAGATCTGATGTGTGACTGCATACCTACGTGATCGGCATTAAGAGCAAAACAACTGCTTGCGCTGCATTGTCAGGACCACTGTTGTAACTATTATTCCTTCTCCCTTACAACGTTTACACGGGTTCGGCTATAACGGCATCGTCCGTATACACCTTTCTACGTGGTTGGTATTAAAGCTTGAGGGTTCGGTGCACAGCGTCCCACGGGACGTCACCTTGCCGTCTCTTGACAGGTTATCAGCCGTAACTACAAGCTCTACACTGGACTGGGAGACAGCTGGTTTATTGCGGGTACAGGGACAATAAAGGAACGATAACCTACACAGTACAATGGCGTCTTCGGCGAGCCCAAGTACTGCAACTTTTGGGAACAGCAGCTCAGAGGGATCCAATGGATTGATGGCTCTTCCTGCGGTGATGGATATGGTTGCAGATTCACAGGATGAACCTGGGAGCGGAGGTTCCGCGCTATTCAGCGACATATCTACTCCCACAAGATCATGGAAGCAGATCGATGTTCATCAGGAGTCGAAGAAAAGAGAATCCCCACCGAGAAGATCATCATCTTCGCCTGCGACACCACGGACGTCGCAGAAGGGCGTGAGATCGACATCGAAGGGTGGGAGGTCAAAATCACCCACCAGTGCAGATTTTCGCGCCGTGATCAAAGAGAAGAATAAGATGGAGGTGGAGATCGGGGAATATCAGAAGACACTTGATGAAATGTCGGCAGCAATGGCGAATCTTAACCAAGAAGACTATGGAAGCACCATCCGGATCCAGGAGCTGGAAAGACGATGCGAGATTGCCAGCAAGCAGTCGGGACATCTAGTGAGTCACCACCAACACCACATGGCTGAGGCATGGCGCAAGTTTGAGGAAGAAGCCCAACAGATGCGCAAGGTGGAAATGAACGCATTTCAGTACGGGGAGAAGAAAGACATGGAGTCGAATATTATAATGCAACAGATGAGGCAAGCTGAAGGAACTATCATGGAGCAGAAGCGGGAGATTGCATTGATGAAATCCTACATGGCAAGCGAGAAGTCGGCCGCGCAGGAATCAGCTATACGTGCAAATCAGATACACCGTGAGGCTTCACAACAGATATCAGTTTATCAGCAACAGATCAGAGGCATAGAATCTTCTACATCTATCGAGAAGTTCAACGAGGAGGAGATGGTCCAAAGTCTGAAATCACAGTTGGAGCATGCACTCGTCAAGCGCCCCGAGACGTACTCTTTGGAGGACTCCAGGGAACAGCTGATGGCGAGGCTGAATGACGTTACAGTATTTGCGGAACAGGAATCGAAGAGAGCAGATTGCTTGCTTCGCGAAAAAGAAGAGATCGTCAAACAGTATGAGTCCGACGTGTCGATGAAGGACCAGATGATTGCTGTCGAAGGTGGTCATCGTCAGGATGCGATCTTGGAGTTAGCCCAGGTCAAAGAAGAGAAACAAGAGGAACGGTGCACGATGGACGAGAAGTCGAAGGAGGCTGAGTACTGGAGATTGACAGCTAAGGGAATGTACGATGAGTACCTCGAGGAGATGCATGAGCTTCAGAGACAACTGAAAGAAAGAGAGGCGACGCTCAAGCAAGAAGAGAGTTTTGTACGCCAACTCGATGCTGACAACGAGGAACTACGTGCACACAAGAAGCTGGAGACACAGGAAGCCTCCAGCAGCAAAGATGGACATCGTGAACGAGCAGTAGTGAAACGCGCTGAGGGAGGAACCCAGGCTAATTCAAATAGGATAGACAAGAAGGTGGCTGGGTCAGTCCCGTCATCGTCTTCAAATCAAATCCCTAATTCGTCGCTGATGCCAGGTTCGATCCTCTTTCCGTCTTTCGGTGATCCAATGATCGATGTACACCTATCCCAGATGCAAGGGGTTGTTGGGCATGTCCCACAATCCACTACTACGACTGGTGGTGGTGATGGGGGGGGAAACAACGGTACTACGCCCCCATTGGATTACGGTGGATTCCCGCCCAATGGGAATGGGCAGGGAGCGGGTCGACGTCAGTTGAGCCTCGCTGGTGGCGGAGGAGGACCTCCGGATGATCCACCCGATGATGAGGATGAGGATGACGACGACGAAGGAGATGAGGAAGACGAGGAAGAAGAAGAGGAAGAAGACGATCGGACACGGAGGAGACGAAGGAGATCGAGAGATAACCGAGAGATCAAGAATGATCGACCGAGAATCTCGAGGAAAGAGGCCGAGAGAGTATCTATTCCGGCCTGGCCAAAGATCCATCAACTTGACACCTGGAAGATGCAACTGCTGATGAATGTTCTGAGCGCATGTGCAGATCCAGATACCGACGCATGGACGAAATGGCTGGAGCAGGCTCTTGGGTTGAACCCAGACCTGGATTTGCTTAGCGATTCAGGTGGCGACAGATTTGCTACGATAGATATTAAGATGGCCATGGGCATGCAGAACATGCTGAAACAAGCACCTGACGAAGCCAAGGACGTATACCTCGATGCTACACGACACTCTGAACTACGACATCAACAAGGGGTGATCGTGAAGGGACGAGAGTTGGTGGCATTAGTTATGCAATCATTCAGAACTTCCGATAGAACGGATCTTGTCTACCACATCGAGCATCTATTCAACCTTGACTTTCCTGGCGACAAGAACTTGGTCATGTTCAGGAACAAATGGTATGATTTGCTGCTGAAGATGAGGAGCGAGGACAGACCCAGTAAGCTGGCTCTCAGAGACATCCTTTACAGGAAGATCAAAGGGAGCAAGAAGATGGAGTTCGGCCTCAATGCCTACCATAGACTACCGGACAAGCATCCTCAGAAGACGTATGAATTCTTATTGGCGTTGATCGACTATCAGATCAAGGCAGATCGGGAAGACCTGATGCTCGACATGAAGGAGAAATCGGTCAAGTCGATGATGAAGTCAGGCGGGAAGGATGCGGCTCCAGCAACTGGCAAACAGGAGAACCAGGGTGGCAAGGGCAGAAAGGGGAAACCCGGTGGACCTGATGCCGCTCCTGTGCTCCCAAAAGCCAAGGCAAAGGGCCACGCTGGCAAGAACGGCAAGTCCGACGGTGCCAGCGACAGAGGCAAGAGTCCGGGCGGAAGCAAGGATAACCCCTGCTGGTACCACTTCAAATCGGCGAAGGGGTGCGTGAAAGGGAATGAATGCACTTTTTCCCACAGCAAGAAGACGGAGCATAAGTTGGAGAGCATGTCCAAGGGGAAAGGAAAGGGCAAATCCAAGTCCAGATCATCGTCACCAAAGAGGGATGATGGAGCATGCTTCGCGTTTCAGAAGGGGAAGTGCGATAGGGGAAGCGCTTGTAAGTACAGGCATGAGCTCATCAAGAACAATTCAGCTCCAGCAACGTCAAATGACAAGGCGCAAGCCAAGTCGAAGGCTGCCGCCAAAGCCGCAGCGCCAGCCATTGCGAGGAGGGCCATCGCAATGCCCGCGATAGTCCTGAAGCAATCGGCTCCTGCAGGGAAGGTAAGCTTCAAGAAGGACGTTGATCAGGTCGAACCGGACGAAACCGAGACTGTCTACCACGAGCACGATGACGACGCGATGAGCGAATCATCGAGATGGTCTGGCGAGTCCGAGATCCCCGAGAAAATGGTGTGGTTCAAGGAAGTGCTCGACGTCGACGAGAATGGGGAGATCACCTACCTCGAAGACGAGAGAAGGCAATGGGAACGAAAAGGGAGAATGGTACGGTTATGAGGACAATGAGAATGAGCCTTATCAGTACGTGTACGTCGACGAGAAGAAGTTCAAAAGCAGTGATCATCGTGAATTATCAGCCTATCAAGTCCAACGATCATTGATACGTGCGAAGATACTGAGAGAAGTGGTGGATGATATATATAAGAAGCACTACTTCCCGGTGACCAAGGAGAGCAGCATAATGTTCGAGTATGATCGGAACAAGGACGAGATCAAGGAATCGGCTGTCGACTGGAAGAAGCAGCATGGTATGCCGAAGAACGTTTTCGCCATGTCAACGTGCATCAGCAAACGGGTGAAATGGTTGATGGACACCGGATGTGGTCATGATCTCATTGGAAGAGCCAAGGCGAAGAGCCTGGGTGTCGACATCGTGAAAGATGACGACGAGATCGTGTTCCAGACCGCGAATGGTTCCACTTCCACATCTGATGTGGCCAAGATAGTCGTGGACGAGTTGGACGAGACTGTCGAGCCGCATGTATTGGATGAGACACCCACGGTATTGTCAGTGGGGAGGAGATGCATGAAGATGGGTTATGCATTTCACTGGATGCCTGGTAAACTACCTTTCATGGTTACGCCAAAGCAGGGATTCGTGCACTTGCAGGTCAAGGACGACATCCCGTACCTAGTGAGTGATGGTAAACTTCGGAGTAACAGGCATCGCCCTACGATAGACGACCTCAAGGAGCACTTTTCGGAAGTATTGGCGATGGTAACGAACGACGAGGCAGATCAGGGAGGTGACGATGAGAACGACGTCACACCCGCCGCTGTCGGTGAGTCCGCAGAGGCCGAGGGCGAACACCACGACGGGGCATTCGACTTCGGGCCACCCGGAGGAGCCG